ACATAGCTTCTTCTTCTTCTTCTTACAAATTTAAAACACCGATCATCACTCACTAAGCATCTCAAGTAGCAAAAAAAAAAAAAAATCATCAGAAGAAAACCTCGACGGTGGGGTTGCCACGGCTGTCGAAGATCTGCCTAGCTTTGATAGCAGTGATAGTAGCCATAGTTCAATTAGATCTTAGAGAAGAGACGAAGAAAAGAAGCGAGAGAGAGAGAGAGCGAGAGATGATTTTACAGAGGATTCTTTATTTATTGCTTCATATATATAACGGGAAAGGGGAAACTGTTCAGTTTATATCATAACCGTCGGATTAAAAGTGTTAGCATCTAATAACAACCGTACGATCTAAAAGAAATGGAAAACGTTAAAACGATGCGTTGCACGCCTTTTGCAGATGACCAAGAGTTTCCTTTTTTGCTCTTTGCTCATTGCCCAAGTAAAATACGACTTTGCGAAATCAGCTAAACACTAGAACAAGTAATTGACTAATTAGGAAAATGAATATTTATTCGATCGTCTATTGAATGTATATAGATTCTGAGTCATTTTGTGTTTATTAAATTAGAACGTTGACAAGCTTATAAATTAAGCTCTTGATGTATGATCTTATTAGCTCCTTCCACGAATTTGTGTCTCAGTGTCTTTTCAAACATACTGCATTAACTGATTTGTTGAAGGAGCTTAATTGTGTAAATAGGTTAATTTTATTATATGAAGTATAAGTTGAATAAATTTGTGACAAGGTAACGAGCGAATGTTTAGAATATAAGACGCATATTCCTTTGGCATCTTTACTTTTTTTTTTTTACATCTTTTTTTTTCTAAGGCATTTAAATTTTAAAGTTTCTGTTGGCCTGTTGGGTAGTTCTGATTGATCAATGATCTATTAAACGAAGATGCTGAAAAGTTTAAGCATATACTGTATTTAGTTAGGATTCCAAGTTCCAACAACATACGTACACTTTCACTTTTTTTTTTCTCAACTGTATAATTTATTAATCGCGGGGAAAATGAATTTTATTTATGATTGTTGTCGGCAATCAGTCATCAGTCATCAGTAAAATGATTAACCTCACGCACAAGAAAATTAAAAACGAATAAACTCAGTACTTGTCTCGGTCTAAATTATACTCTCTCTCTTTAAAAATATAAATCGTTTTAGCTACAAACACGCATTAAGAAATTCTACTTTTAAAAAGTTCACGTAAAAGAGACTGCATAATATAAATAATTATAAAATATTAAAATAATATATAATTTGCATAGGAACTTGAAAACGACTTATATAAAACACAAATTTTTCTCCAAACGACTTATATTATGACCCAGCAGCCTAATTGCCATCTCTGTGCGTGATGTCGATGAGATGTCGGCAGGAGAGAGTAAAATCTTAAACATCATGACATCCTCTATAGTTTAAAGGGATTCGTAGACATGTAGTTTAAAGGGATTCGTAGACATGTATACACAACAACGTCACTAGGAAATAAAATGTTCTTGAAGTTTTTTCTATGCCATTTTACTATTTTAGCTTAAACACTATCAATCTCATCTCCAAAATACATCTTTACTTTTTCGGTAGCATTAAAAAGAATATACTACGGGAATTATATTTTCATCAACCAAAGATCAAACCACAAAGTTTCTTGAAAATCTGCAATAATAAAGCTAAAAAAGAAGCCTACGACAACTTGAATAAAATAGTTATTATATCTAAACGTCAAGACACAAGCTGCTGATTCTCTCTCAATCTTTCGACTCCTGATCGAACCAAGACTTAAGCATATCCCGGAACAAACCAAAAACTTTTGGAAAACGAATCATCTAATGATGTGATTATACTTATCGCAAGATCAAACACACAGCAATTAAGATGATCACAACTTGGACAGAGATCATCATTACCAAAACAGATTGAATCAGTCTTGATTCCCCAACCATATATGAACATCTTTGATTGTAACCCCATGACCAAATATCAACATCTCACCTCCAAGAGAATCTACTCTTTCCCAGTTACTACTTTCAAAGTTCATCTTGAAGATGTAAAAGAAGCGTCTCTCTTCTCTCACAACGGTCAAATTAAACATCCCTTGAGTTCGTAATCGCAATTTTCGTCTTCCAAACGTATTCCCCAAGTTGCTTATCAAAGTGAAACATATAAAATATTTTAAAACAATGAAACAAAGAGGCCCAGGCGGTGAATACAATGTAGGCCCATTAAGGCCCAATAACGACCGTAGCCTTTCATCATTCTCTCTGCTCAATCCAAAACAAATCACAAACCTCTGAAGTCACTCACTCTTTCACCTAAACAGCATCAAATGGCGACTTCTCTCTCCGTTTCTAGATTCATCTCCTCCTCCTCCGCCATCGCTAAGCCGTTACTATCCCCCACCGTCTCCTTCACCGCGCCGCTCTCCTTCACACGCTCTCTCGCTCCTGATCTCTCCCTCAAATTCCGCAACCGCCGCACCAATTCCTTCTCCGCCACCACCAGATCCTTCGCCACAACACCCGTCACCGCCTCCATATCCGTCGGAGACAAACTCCCAGACTCCACCCTCTCCTACCTCGATCCATCCACCGGAGACGTCAAAACAGTAACCGTCTCATCCCTAACCGCCGGAAAGAAAACAATCCTATTCGCCGTACCCGGAGCATTCACACCAACCTGCTCACAAAAACACGTCCCTGGATTCGTATCTAAAGCTGGAGAACTCAGATCTAAAGGCATCGATGTAATCGCATGTATCTCCGTCAACGACGCGTTTGTCATGGAAGCGTGGAGGAAAGATCTGGGAATCAACGATGAGGTAATGTTGCTTTCCGATGGTAACGGTGAATTCACAGGGAAGCTTGGAGTTGAATTGGATTTGAGGGATAAGCCTGTAGGACTTGGAGTTAGGTCAAGAAGATATGCGATATTGGCTGATGATGGTGTTGTGAAAGTTCTGAATCTTGAAGAAGGAGGTGCTTTTACTAATAGTAGTGCTGAGGATATGCTTAAAGCTCTCTGATTCTAGATGAAATCAATTCTCATCATTTTCTTCTTCTTCTTCTCTGTTTCGATTTTGTGTCTGTGCTTTTTTTTTTTGTTTTGTGTTGCTGTTTCTTTAAATCTACAAATCATATCGGATTTGTAATGGAATAATGAATTTAGAGGTCTTTGTTTCTAAACATTTTGGAAAAGCGTTGCGTTTAGTTGTTACTACTTTAGTGAACTAATTGATTGAAGTTGGTTTCTCTGAAACATGTTACCGATCACCCGGTCAGGGATTTGGTTCTAGTTAGGGGTGTCAAAATGGGTTAATATCCATGGGTTACCCGAACCCGCCCATAATTTTAGTGGGTTTGGGTAGATTTTTTTTACTAATATATATAAATGAGTTTTAGGGGTTACCTATTAGGGTGATGTGTTTAATAGGTAAAACCCATTAGGGTCATGAGTTTCATAATCAAAACTAAAAAGTAAAATATATATATATATATCTATATTAATATATTATGTAAAATTTATATAAATATATGTAAAATATCTTCTTTTCTTTACAACTATCTTTTTTTATTTGGTTTTATGGTTCTTTGGATTTGTGGTTTTAAGATTTTAGGATGCTTTTCTATTTTAATATCTAGATTTTTTTAATTTATTATTTAAATTTTTTTGTTGGTTTACAATTTTATGTTATTTTTTTGGATTTTTATTATTTATATATTTTATTATACATATATATATATGAGTATTCATATAATCCATTAAGCCAATGTCTACAATAATGGGTTTGGATATGTAAATTCAACCCATATAAATATATGGGTCTGGTCAAACCCGTCCATTAAACACTCGAACCCATATGGGTTTGGGTCGGGTCGGGTCGGATTACATATTTTGACACCCTTAGAGCAACATCAATGGTTGAATCCTTAAAAAGATTCTTAAACATTTTTTAATCATAAATTATGATAATTTTAAAGTTAAGAGTTTGTGATGAATCCTTAAAACTTTCTTTGTCCAATGGTAGAGTCCTTAAGTGGGTTTCTTATATAAAAAAAAAAATTAATTTGATAAAACTTAATAAATATTACAATTTCTTAAAAAATTTAAACATACAAGACATAAAAGCATATAAAATACAAATAAAAAACCAACTTTTTGTCATATACGCTTAACAAAATGAGTTTTCAATTGTTGATGCATACTCCGATCACGAATTCGAGTTCGAATGTCCATCATATTACTGAGATTTGAAGGCATATTTTTTTGTCTTTTATTAATATTTTTAACCCAATCAGAAAGCGACATATATGGAGCTCTTAACAATCCTTAAACCTCTTAACAATCCTTATATTAGAGCCAACTCTTAACAATCCTTAACTTTATTTGTTGTTTTCATTTATTTTAATTACTTTTAACTTTAAGATTTTTTTTAAGAAACTCATAAGATACACCATTGGGGGTGCTCTTAGACTTCTAGTACGGCGTCGTTTGATGTAGAGGAGTTTGGACCACAACTTAAAAAAGAGTCTCAGAATATTCTAGAATTGTAAACGATCAAATCGATGTTCCAGTTTTTTCTTACATCTAGTAAATGTTTTATTTTTCTTGGTAAAAACGTTACTGAGATAATTAGCAAACCAACCCAAGGACTTCTCCAAAAGGCACGTTTTTTTTTTTTTTTTAATTGCACCTGATTTTATACGATTCTTTTTTTTTTTAATGCATCTTTGATATGATTATTTTAGTTTAAGTTGTATAGTGAATTTATCTTTTCAATTGATTTAGAGCCCATTGGTCTATGGAGATTGTAGACTAACAACAAGGCAAAGATCCTGACTTTTGGAAAGGACTTTGGGTTGGTTGCTAATTGCATGCCACGTCTACGTGCTAACGTATGCATCTTTTAAAAAAACAAAAAAAAGACAATAAGGCTAAATGGGGTCAACTTCACTACTGGCCACTGGGTGATCGACTATGTGAGTTAAAGGAATCAAATCTCTCAGACAATAACGCCAAATTAGTCACATTTGAGATTTTCTTTTTTGGTATACATTAACATTATACATACATATTGGATTGCTTTGGTGATTTAAGTGTACAAGTACACTGTACACATGCATGTAAAGAAAACAAATAGAGAAAATAATCTAGGTCCCTCGATAAGGAATGGGAATCGCTTCCAAAGGAACAGCCTTTTTCAATGTAATACCGATCCTTTCTCCCATATCCATTTCTTCTGCATTAAGCCCATTTGCTAAAGCCCAATCAAACGATCTCACCATCGACCCAATGGCCAATGGCAAGACCCGTGACGCCAAAGGTAAAGCTGGACACATCCGTCGACCTGACCCGAACGGCAAGAACTCGTAATCCTGTCCCTTGAAGTCTCGGGCGTTCGGGTTCGATATAAATCTCTCGGGTTTGAACATTATCGGGTCGATCCATGTTTCAGGATCGCGCCCTATGGCCCATACATTGACCAAGACTTGTGTTTCTTTGGGGATTGTGTATTGGTCGAAGATGTGGCACGTGGACATGGCTTTGTGTGGGACTAGGAAAGGCAGAGGTGGGTGCAGCCTTAAGGTTTCCATGATAACCGCCGAGAGATAGGGAAGGTTTGGAAGGTCTTCTTCTTGGAGCTTTTGGTTTGTGGACTTGAAATAAGTTCGGAGTTCGGTTTGGAGTTTGGTTAAGGTTCTTGGATTGTGTAGAAGCTCCGCTAGTGCCCATTCCAACGTGCTCGTTGTTGTATCCGTTCCAGCCGTAAACATTTCCTATCAATAAGTACTCAAAATGCTTGAATATAAAATGACAAAAGAAAATTAACAAAAACTTAATAGTATACTACTTTCGATGAAGAAGTTTAGAAACCCTTTTTAAAGTTTAATTTTATGGTATTTTTGGTTTCTTGAAACGTTGTGATATATTTGGACTACAAAGCCAAAAAGCAATATTGTTTCTTGAAACGCTGTGATATATTTGGACTACAAAGCCAAAAAAGCAATATTTTTTTGTATAATTCATGAATTCGAACAAAATTTTCATATCAATCGAAAAAAGTAGACTTACAAAAACAATAACGTTGATATCTCTTGATGAGAAGCTAGAAGGTTCTTCGTCGACTCCATCGCCACCACGAAACTCCAAAAGAACATCCAAGTAATCTTTCGTCTTCTCGTCGCTCTTTTCTTTCTCCCTAACTTCCGTTCGTTCTCTGATGAACTCTCCGGCGATCTCAAACGCTTTTTCCACGTGGAACTGCGTTTTTCTTCTGATTCCTTGAGGGTCAAGAAACCTTAGCAAAGGGAAGAAATCGGCAACGTTGGGTTTCCCGGCGAACTCCATCACTTTTCCGGTGTGGTAGAAGAATTCGGAGCCTCTTTTTGAATCGGGATCGAGCAAATCTCTCGAGAACATGAGGTTTCCTATAAGATTAAACGCCATCAAGAAGAAATATCTCCCCACGTCGATTGTTTTTGTACCTGATAAGAAAGAAATATGTAGAGTGGATTATATAATACACATTTTAGTTGTCCAAAAAAAAAAAACACATTTTATAAGTTTCATCAGAATAAATATATAGAGTCATATTCAGATTAGTATTGTTGATGCGTCACATTGGGATTCAAGCCTACATATAAGATGTTGTTGATAAAAGGACATCTAGAATTAATACATACCGTTTTGGCCACCTTCTTCGACAAATCGAAGCATCTGATCGACACACCTAGAGCGTACATCGCTCATGGCATCAAGACGGCGAGTAACAAAGAACTGAGTGGTGCATAGCCTCCGCAGCATCCGCCAATACGCTCCATACTGAGCAGTTATAAGAGACCCGTCACTGCTCTTCCCTCCCTTCATCGCCTCGTAGATCTTCCGGCCGGCCAAAACTGCGTCGTGCTTCTTGAAAATCTCCCGAGCCACTTCACTCGAAGAGATCACAACCGTCAGCATTGACGCGATCCGCAAAGACATGATTGGCCCGTGACGCCGTGAAAGTTTAGTCAATGAGTCGTGTGGCGGTGACCCGGCGAGCTGGAACATGTTGCCGATCACTGGCCAGGGATTTGGTCCCGGAGGTAGTCTCGCACGACATCGTTTGGTGTGGAAGAGACATGTAACGTATATGAGAAGGGCAATGGATGTAAATAATCCGATTAACTCGTTCTTCGTTAATTGATTAGTCATTTTTGTTTTGTTTTGTTCTGAATATGAGTAGGAACGTTTCTACTTTATAGGTAACAAGGTTTCATGTCACCTTTTTCTTTATTCACAAGTTTTGTGTCTCTTATCATAATGTTAATAATTCATGATCTTGTCGCTATTCTTTTGGGAATCTTTATCGGATATAATTGGTTTTAAAAAATCTGTGTAACTTGTAAGGTCATTTTATTGTAAGCCCATTAGAGTATCCCAGTAAGTCTAAGTGAGACAAAATTAGAAGGCCCATTTGATGATTCTTGTGCAAAACGTTAGGAACATTTGTGGTGGATCTGCAGTTGGAATTTGACCATTCCCCATATCGTTAGTTGACAAAGGTTGAAGTTGAAGTATATTAAAACTTCTACAAATTAATATTCGATAACTTAATAATTATTATAATTTATAAAAAAACTTGATTCCAAATTGAGATAAGTAATATTTAATATAATTTGATAAAATGGAAAAAAAATATTTTTGAAAATCTTATATCGATGCTTGGTTCTATCAATATCATAAATTAATAATTATATAAACTTATCAAAATATATATATTATATGTAAAAAATTTAGTGAAATATGACTTTGATATTGTTTGTTTTCTTAAATTTACATTAATTTATTTGTACACTTCATTTCTGATTTTACTACATCAAAAACTTTTTATGATATTTTCTAGACATAATAATTATTTTTTACTTGCAATTGGTTCTTCAATGTAAGTACTTAACATCCCTTTAAACACAAAGAGTAGCCTATCCCATTAGATACATTATTATATTATTGTTTTCATTTTCATCTAGGATGTAGTTCTCCATTGCAATTTTGTTGAGACCCAACAAATGTGTAGATAAGATATAAGAAGAGTTATCGTAAATTTAAAGAAAACCAAGAGCACTAAACCTGAATTAAGAGAACTAAGTCAGAGAGATCTCAAAGCAAATCGCCACTGATTACAATAGTTAGTTTTTGCTATATTTAGCATAGATGTTTTACATATGCTATTTTTGGCAAAGTGTGTAAGCAAATATCAAATCAGAAACTAAGTCAGAGAGATCTCGAACCAAATTCGCCGGAGATCATAAGACGTTTATTTTCTAAATTTGACATGATTGTGTGTGTATATATACAAAATAGGTATAAAAGTTGTGTATCATGTATATGCGAAGTTTACATAGATTTATAAACTATTAATGAAAAACATTGTACATAAAAACTACCAACTAAATTTTGATCAATATTAATCTTTTTTTTTGACAAAAAATAACTATTATTAATCTTCTTGAGTAGTTTAAGTCATCAAAAGAAACCATTTCTAGTTTCCCAAAAGAAAAAAATCATTTACAATGTTAAAAAAATGAATTAACAAAATGTGAGTTTTTTATCCCAAATTTTTGGAAGTCAAGAAATTAAATTAAAAACGTTAAATAAAAGTCAAAAGAGATGCCAAGTCAGAGAGATCTCAAATCGTAAGTTTATTTACTATATTTGGAAAAGTTGAATATACACACACTCACATGTACAGATGTATAGGTATAAGAGCTGTGTATACTTATATATGCGAAAGAGAGGCAAATGTGAAGTGAAAACTAAGGTCATTGTCTTTTATCAGAAAAAAAGAAAAAAAGACAAAGGTTGTTGTCTCACAGTTTGTTCTTTTTTAAGAGTGTTGGTTGTATTCTGTTTTTCTTGTTTAGGAGTGGTGTTTTAAACAGATATTGTTAATAGAAGAAACTAAAGAAGAATAAGAGAATATATCTGCAAAAGCTTTCATTGCGTGAAAAGGATTCAACGGTTATGGGAGAAGAGTCTTTCAGCTTTGATTGGTTCATTTGATTTTGTTTTATCATTTATCATCAAAGACACTTCTTTCTATACAATTCCCAAAGATTTCTTATTTACAGGTAATCAATTTTTTTACATCTTTTGATCATCGTTGTTATTTTTTTTTTCTTTCTAAAATTTAATAATTTTGAAATGGTACTGTTTAGGCTTTTATTCTCTATTGAATTTAAAAGTAGAATGGTACAAAATATAATGCATGTAAATAATTTTTAAAAAGAACGAAGGAGATTATTCGGGGGGAAAATGTTGTTTTGATTACATATTCGCAATTGAGACTGATAACATTGTAGATTTCTTTGTTTGAGTTACTATACAACACCCTTCTATTTGTACACATTACAAAATATAAACATGTGTTCATGAGTGAGATCTACTCTTTGGTTTCTTATTATATGTTACTTGTGATATATGTTTAACTTAATCTTGTTGAAATAATGAATTTTTTTGAATGATTTGCTATGCATGGGGGTTTTTTTTTTTTGTAGTGAAACCAATAAGAGATGGATTTCACATAAGCTATGAATGATGTGCAAAACAGAATTCAACAACTTGAACCAGAGAATGCATTGAAGATCATCGGTTATCTCTTGTTGATGCAACACCACAACGACCGTGACATGATTCGTCTCGCATTCTGTCCAGATTCGGTGATGCGTTCCATGATCAACTGTGTTAAATATGAATTGGCTAATAACTCTCATTGCGACATTCCTACTTCTGATCACATTCAAGTCCGTAAATTCGGATCATTCACCGGTTCATCAAACCAATCCCTTTTGGTGTCTATCTCTCCTCCTTCTGTTCTCTCCATGGGAACAAGTTTTTGGGAGAATACAAACGACATGGATTCATCATTGCAAAACAATGTTTAGTTCTTGAATTTTGAGGATTCTTTGACCAGTCCTGAATTCTCAACTAGTTTCTTCTCTCAAGAGAAACAAGGTCTATCGTTGAGAACTAGTCGAAGATCACTGAGTTTACCGGAGTTTCCTGTAAAAATCTGCCATTACTTCAACAAAGGGTTTTGCAAACACGGCAACAACTGTAGGTATTTGCATGGAAAAATCATACCAGAGAGAGATAGTTTTGCTCAGATGTTTAATCCAAACAACAACCTAAGCGATGAAGAGCATGTTGTTTCCGCTGTATCACTTGAGAAGCTAGAAAGAGAGATCATTTACCTGCTTAAATCAAGAAGAGGTGCTCCAATTTCCATAGCTTCTTTGCCAATGATGTACTACGAGAAGTATGGTAGGACTCTTCAAGCTGAAGGCTATCTCACTGAGTCACAAAGACATGGCAAAGCTGGCTATAGCCTCACCAAGCTTCTTGTTCGCTTAAAGAACACCATCCGCCTCATCGACAGGTTAGTTACTTAACAGATTTTAACAAAAGAATATACATGAAGTATAGTTTATGTATTGTTTTGGTTAATGGTGTTTGAATTTTGTAGGCCTCATGGGCAACATTCAGTAATACTAGCAGAAGATGTATTAAAGTTTGTGGAATATACGGGAGAGAAAAGCGAACACGGAGCGATCCTTGCTGGCTCGAGACAGATTTACTTAACATTTCCGGCGGAGAGTAGTTTCACTGAACATGATGTTTCAAACTATTTCTCCAAAGTTGGACCAGTGGAAGATGTGAGGATTCCATGTCAACAAAAGAGAATGTTTGGATTTGAAACTTTTGCTTACACAGAAGACGTCAAACACATTCTTGCTAAAGGCAATCCTCATTTCGTATGCGGAGCACGTGTTCTCGTCAAGCCTTACTGGGAAAAATCACACTCCAATAGATATCTTGACAATAACAAACCTCCGTACGACGTTCAATATAGATCTCAATACATTGACAGAGAAACAGAACTAAACACTTGTTAGTACATTCTCAAAACCTTTCATTTTGAGAATATTCGCAATACGGTGTCATTTAACTATTTATTTTTGTGTTGTTTTAAGTGCCACAACGAGTTAGCGAGAGCTTAAAACTAACGAGGAAGCGGTTTCTTGAGGATCACGAGCAATCAGTGTCTAAGTCCTTACCTAATAATTACTCATATCTCGGGTTCTCTTCCAATGACTTCAAGCTAACAACAAATGGTAACTATACCTCTTCTTACAACATAATAATATCTCACGTTTAGAAAAATAGATCAATTTTTATAACTTTCTATTAATTTGTAGAGGAACAAGAGGAACAAGCAGAACAATTAAGTCTGGATTATCTTAACACCGAAGATAATGTCATGAACATAAGTCCTAACTACAAAGACAATGATCGGTATGCTATAACTTTGATATAATTAACAAACAAATTTTGAGATTTTTTTAGTTCGCTCATATAAAGTTTTTTTTTTTTTTTTTCCACCAGGAGGATACACTGTGAATCTTTAGAGGGTCGAGTCTTAAATTTACCTGAGAGTCCGTTTTCTTCCCTTTCCGGAAAAGAGATTTCTATGGTTACATAGAGAGAGTGTCACCAAACCAAAAGTGAAAGCTGAAAAGGAATATAGGAGCATAAAGGTTAGAGGAAATTCCAAAATATGTAATCACATGCATCATCATCTTTGTCTTTGGGGTTAGACTGTTTGGTCGATGGCATGGAGTCTTCGGGTTTAGATTGTTTGGTCGATGGCATAGAGAATTTAGGTTCTTTAGCAACAACATCACGTAAGGAAAAAAAGGAGACAGATAGACACAACATAAAAGGATCTGTTTGATTCAACTACAATGTGAGGTGAGCAGGTTAATTCAGAAACATAAGCTACATGGCTTATGTATGACTAATTGAAACGTTTATGATGGTTTTGTTTCTATTGTTTTTTTTATAACCTTTGTTATGCAAGACTGGATCATATTTCATTGTATTATACGCCAATTCCGTCTAGTTTTACGAACAAGGTTTAGAAAAGTGTATGGGTAGTTTCACAAACTTAAGAAAATATCGCCACCATCAACGATGAATAGTCTGTAGAAAAAAATCTTATGAATGGTGAACACATATGTGTATTTTGTAGTCAGTAAGAGATCAATAATCTTAACATTAAAACCAAAAAAAAAATAAGAGATCAATATCATGGATGAAAAACGTGGACCAATTATAAATCGACAAATCATAACATTCGAAAATGCTATAATTCGAAGGCTATAATACAATTTTTTTTTATTTTTTTTTTTGTGACAACAATCTGGAAAATGTTGTTGCGAATTACCCAACAGAACAATAATAATATTGACCCCAGAGAAATTAATAAACAGAAATTAAAGTTCGACGCGACCCACCATTTATATTCATTCTTCTTCTCGTGTTCCATAAACATTACGATACGTACCAGTGGACATGTACCTACCTGACGCGCATTGTTAGCGTTTCGATAACAAGTCCTAGCAATTAAAACTATAGCCGACCAGATTCTTACACAAGCGCTAAGAGATGCGCGTGGTGATTATTTTTACCCCTTCTCCACGAAATAAGAAATCAACTACGTTAATGAAAGATCCTCCACGTGGCTACGAGGTCTTTACGATCTTAGTCCTTCATAGTCTTGCTAATTGCGGATCTGGTGTACACTTAAATAGTTAAATATTCGTTTCCACTCCCTCTAGTTTTAGCTTGATTTTAATTTTAAGGCATATGTTTTAATTTCTCAACCAATAAGGACTAAAATGAGAAACAAAATAAGATATCATTAGGTTGTTAGATTGTTTCTGTTTGCTGATAAAAATATATAAAATCTGGATTGAACTTGAAAGATATAGGAAAAAATAAATAAAATTTTGGACAATTATTTTTGTCATTTTTACAAATGGACTTGTTTGATATTGAAATGAATGTAGATCTTTAGACACATAAATTGAAGAGGTTTGAACAAAATATATCAAAAAGAGTAACATTATGTTTTTACATTAGTGATGGTAAAAAAATAAAAAATAAAGAGAACATTAGGGTCTAAGAAATAAGAAAAAAACATAGGGGTATTAAATTGTAGAAAAAAACATAGGGGTATAGGTTAAAGAGAAAAGGAAAAAAGCGTCGACTTATTTCCTTTTTTTTTTTTTTTTATCATTTATATATTTGTCTTCCGTTGCGTGAGATATCATTGAACGGTGTTTGTTTGTTTATTCGGAGAAGAAGCATATTCGACGGTCACCAAACCTCTTCCGTCGAATTTTCACTCTCCGTTTCTCTCCCGTCGCCGTCGAACATCTGAGATCTCTTTCCACTTCCGTCACCGAAGATGCATTCCAGTCATCTTCTTCTCGAGGAGCCGATCAGGATGGCTTCAATCCTCGAGCCTTCCAAATCTGTGAGCGCTCTCTTTCCCTGCTCGATGCTTTAGTATCACAGTTCTTCTTCATCGATTTGCAATTTCCCATGGATTCAATTTTGTTGTTGAGGTTTCTCTGATCTCTTTTTGATGTATTTCTCAGAGTTTTTTCCCGGCATTGACTAAGATCGTCGGAACTCTCGGTCCTAAATCCCGATCCGTCGAGGCTCTCTCCGGCTGTCTCAAAGCCGGCATGTCTGGTACTCACGATTACTTCTCTTTTTTTTTTTGTGTCTTTTGCTAACTTGATTTGGATTCGTCTCACTGATAAATTGTTCATGTTCTGTTATTAGTGGCTCGATTCGATTTCTCTTGGGGCGATGCTGATTATCACCAGGAGACACTTGATAATCTCAAGGTTGCTGTGAGGAGCACTAAGAAGCTTTGTGCTGTATGTTTTCTCTTCTCTTGATTTTTTTGTCTGGTGGATCTTTTTTTGTTTGCTCTATATGTATCTGAGCTTGAGATGTCTTCTGGTTTTGATCAGGTTATGCTTGATACTGTGGGACCAGAGTTACAAGTTATTAACAAATCTGAGAAAGCTATTACTTTGAAAGCTGATGGTCTTGTAACTTTGACGCCCAATCAAGACCAAGAAGCTTCTTCTGAAGTTCTTCCCATTAATTTCAATGGGCTTGCCAAGGTTCTCTATGACCCTTATAGAATGAGATGGATGCTATTATTATATGTAATCAATGGTTTAGTGTTTACTTATATAGACGTGTGATGGATGTTCTTGTTTGATGTTTTCACTTTCAGGCAGTGAAGAAAGGAGACACTATCTTTGTTGGGCAATACCTCTTCACTGGTAGTGAAACAACTTCAGTTTGGCTTGAGGTATTAAAAAATGAAGCTTACAAATTTACTTTTGGTGGTTTCTCTATGTTAAAGTTTAGACATTTAGATGGATATCCCACCTCCCAAACGAACCTGCAGGTTGATGAAGTTAAAGGAGATGATGTCATTTGCCTGTCAAGGAATGCTGCTACTCTGGCTGGTTCTCTTTTCACTTTACATGCCTCTCAAGTTCATATCGATCTGCCAACTCTCCCAGAGAAGGATAAGGAGGTCAGAGTTATTTCTAATCTGCAAATCTCAGTGATTCACTTAACTCCCTTTATAATACATATTTTTGTCAGAGTGTTTGACCAGATTGTTTTGATTTTCTAGGTTATAAGCACATGGGGAGTTCAAAATAAAATCGATTTTCTCTCGCTGTCTTATTGTCGTCATGCGGAGGATGTTCGCCAGGTCTGTATTTTTATGCTGCCTTTCAGTTTTTGTGTCTTAATTCTATGTGTATGCACTATTAATTCTGAGCTTCTGATAAGCTTGAACAATAACCAATTGTTGTTTCATAACACAGACCCGTGAAATGCTTAAAAAGTTGGGCGACCTCTCTCAAACACAAATATTTGCTAAGATTGAGAATGTAGAGGTAAGTGCAATGCATTTATATTTGCTTTTTTAATATGTCTCTGTAATTCATCCTTTTTCTTAACCGAGGAGGAAGCTACTGATTTTGAGTCTTTTATTTAGGGACTAACCCACTTCGATGAGATTCTACAAGAAGCTGATGGCATTATTCTTTCTCGTGGTAATTTGGGTATAGATTTACCCCCAGAAAAGGTATGTTGGTGGTTAGTCTTTTAAATTAATTTGTGCGGCACCAAACTTTACACTCTTTTATAACTTACTTGGTGGGTTCTGGTGCAGGTGTTTTTGTTTCAAAAGGCTGCTCTTTACAAGTGCAACATGGCTGGAAAGCCAGCCGTTCTTACCCGTGTTGTTGACAGTATGACTGACAACTTACGACCAACTCGTGCTGAGGCAACGGATGTTGCTAATGCTGTTTTAGATGGTATGTTTTTCCTTGTTGTATGTTTTTTATGGTGCTTCTAACATTTTATAACAGAATCTGCTTGGTTTGGTTAAGAAATTCTATTTCTGGATCATGGCTTTTGTCATAACTTGGGGTTTCTTCTTCCATTTTACTTTCTGCAGGAAGTGATGCAATTCTTCTTGGTGCTGAAACCCTTCGTGGATTGTACCCTGTTGAGACAATATCAACTGTTGGTAGGATCTGTGCTGAGGTAGGCTTTATGATATATTTCTGTAGTATGATTTTTTTGCTTGCGTCTTTAAATCCCACACATCTTGCAACTATGTGGAACCTAGTTGTGGCTTGTCATCCGATTTGCTCTTACACAGTTTCTTTATCTGTTCATAGGCAGAAAAGGTTTTCAATCAAGATTTGTACTTTAAGAAGACTGTCAAGTATGTTGGAGAACCGATGACTCACTTGGAATCGATTGCTTCTTCAGCTGTAAGTCTGTCTTCTGTGCTGCAGAGAAATGATTAGAATTTCTGGTTTTAAGACACAAATTACTATCACAATTTCTAATCTGGCTTAATTCACACTTGATCAGGTACGGGCAGCCATCAAGGTTAAGGCATCCGTGATTATATGCTTCACCTCTTCTGGAAGAGCAGCCAGGTTCATATCATTCCTTTTGGCTAAAATGCTATTTTCATTTGATCTATTCATATTTTTCTGATGAATTTTAATTCCTTTGATCTCCATGCAGGTTGATTGCCAAATACAGGCCAACGATGCCGGTTATTTCTGTTGTCATTCCCCGGGTTAAGACAAATCAGCTGAAATGGAGCTTTAGTGGAGCTTTTGAGGTATGTTCCCCCCTGGTTTCCCAAGTTTAGAGATTATTATATTCATGCCAATCTCTTGCAAGGTTAACCCGTGTCTCTTATCAGGCGAGGCAGTCACTTATCGTCAGAGGCCTCTTCCCAATGCTCGCTGACCCTCGTCACCCTGTAAGTCTTGTTATCTTTCTTATATTGCATATTACACCTTCCTCTCTATTGGAGAAACACACGGCCTCAAAGATATTGGATGACTGAAACATACTCTGATACAAAGTCTTTTAAACGTTTTAATGAAATTTTTTAATTTCTTAAGGCGGAATCTACAAGTGCGACAAACGAGTCAGTACTGAAGGTTGCTCTAGACCATGGGAAGCATGCTGGAGTTATCAAGTCGCATGACAGAGTAGTGGTGTGTCAGAAAGTTGGTGATGCATCTGTGGTTAAGATTATCGAGCTTGAGGATTAACTTTTGCCTCGCAAAACATTATAAAATTGGCTGCATTTTGGGTTGCCTTGAATTGATGACTCCCATTGACGGAGGGGATATATTATCTCCGGGACTTTTGGTTTTTGTACTTAGGAGATTTGATGTCTCTAAGGCTTTTCCTTATTTTCAAATTTAAGCATATCATAAAAGTATACAATGCCTAGCAATTTTATAATAAACTGTTACATTCCCTGTTTTTTCGATCTGTTATAAAATTCTATCATTTTTAGACTACTTTCTCTTTTCTTGCAGTTAAATATCCTAAATATGAAGTTATATCATTTTTGACAATTAATTATTGTTTTATTTTTAATTTTTGTCGTGAAATGAAATTAGAAGAGAAAAAAAATATATAGTGAGGAGAAAATTTGGTCGTTGATAATCGTTTTCACTAGGATCGGACCCGCGGTCTACCGCGGGAAAATATTGTTTTACATACATTGATTTTAATAGTGCCTGTTTTAAGTAGAGCGAATCGGGTAGTGTACTTATAAATATTCATAATAACGACTTGTAGAGAAAATTTTAAATTGTTTATAATTAAACCGATCATATTAATTATGATTAAAAAATAGAATTTTATGTTTTAGAATTCTAAAATTAGATGATTCATAGGAATTAGAGCAGTAAAAATAGGTCAAAAACCGTGGGTCGAGCCCAAATCATCTCACTATGGGGCATATTTGTGAAAAACGGGCCACACGGATTGATTCGCAGTGGATCATAGGTTTTAATCGGTTTTCGTCCGCGGGTTGGTGGATCAGTCCGCATGTTAGTATTTATTGATAAAAGTATAATTTATTCAACATTTGGTAATTTAAAAACTTTTAATAAATGAAATTATAATATTTATAAATATAATAAGATATAAAATTATTTCCTCTAATTTTTTTATTTATTTATTTTAGTAGTATTTTAAATTTTCGTTACTTTAAAATTATTTAAACAAAATCCACGGACAACCCCGCAAATCAGCATACATTCGCAGGACGGATTTGTGTTTCATATATGCTATCTGCGGGTCGTGTGGACCAACTAACTGTATGTCAAAATATATTTTGCCTATCACAAAACGGGCTTAACGGGACGAATCAAATCGCTTTGACAGCTCTAGTGGGAATATTATTGAGTCATACAACAAAATAGAGTTTGGACATAAGAATAATAGAATCTATATCATATTTCTTAGATGAGAGATTGAAACTTTGAAAGGTGAAATATAACGATTAAAAATTAATTATTATTTTTCATGATTCGAAAAATTTAATAAATATTTATCATCTTGTTGAATAATTCTACAAATCATATTCAAGAAATCTTTATAATTTTAAAATTAATCTTCTTTTGTAAGCTATCAGTATGAAAATACCATAATTTTGTTTAATTTAATTAAATTAAAATTAGTTACATGGATTTCATATTTATTTAATTTACACGACCAAAATAAAAATATATATTTAATTTATAAAATAGATGGGTTAGTTGTGATAAATTTTCTAGAAATCTTTTAAAGCAAGTAAGATAACTTTCAATTAATGCTAATTGGCTAAAATAAGCAAAATTAATGACAAAAACGTTGATTGTTATGGAATTAGTTCCAAAAATATATGAACAAATATATTATACGTAATTAATGTATAGTATTGTTCGGAATATGCTTTTATAATTAGTTACCATAAATACAATTATATTTTATTTTATTTCAATAAATATTTTATTTTAGTTCGATTTTTCATTATTAAATATTAATTAGAAATCATATTCCAAAAAAAATTCAAAAATCCGATTTCAAAATTTTGGGTTAATTTTCTGATTTTGACCCGATCCATTTGCATTTGTACTTCTCTTTTAATAGTATAGAGATTGTTAAATAAAAATAAATATATACAGAATTTGTATGGAAAAAAAAACATCAGAAAATAAAAATATCTAAGGCAAGACAAAACAAAAGAAACAAGAGTCTTTTTGGTTCGTTAAGTTTGTATTAAATTAATCTTTGAACTTATAAACCAATAAACCATTACCGTTTCCTTTCATTGGTTTACTGATTAGGTTTTTTTTCTCAATTATGTACTTATGTATAGCTATTTGTTAGTGATTACGTCGTCAGTTTGTTATGTATGATTTAATATATGACCAAATAAACACTATTCAAACAATACAATTCGTTGTACACCACCTAAATAGTCTTTTATTGTCTTATATCAATTATTATTTTTAGCTGTGTTTCAATTTATATGGTTAGTTTTCAATTAATTTTAATTAGTCTTTGCATGCTTAAGTTTGGGGACCAACATTTCTTTGGTTGGTTTGACTATGAATTAAGATCTTTTCCTCGAGTAGTCTTTTCTCTAGAAAAAGATAGTCATTGACGTTCGATCATGAGTTATGATTTATGAATGATGAATCCATAAAAATAATTATGACTTTTTTAATTTTTGACTTCTCTTTGATTTTTTCCCCAACTCTCCTATCCATAAACAATCCTCCTGTCGGAGTGATAACGATGCTCCCAAATACTACAACAACTCGTTGCAAATTATGATTAAATCAAGCAAATGGTCTCAGTCGCTCACCAAAAAAAAAAAAAGCAAATGGTCTCAGTCTATACATTTATGTTTGATCTCAATCCCAATATTAATCACATGGAGTAAATATATATCACAAAACTAACAAACATGCAAGACCCTACATGAAGATTATTACTTGAAAATATCTAAATGTATACAACTAAGTGACATAGTTACCACATAAATTAAACTTACAAAAGAAATTCAGATGGGTCGTACCTAAAAGTTTTTTTTTTTCTTAAAAGTTGTTGCAGTAGGATTAATGAATACAAATTTGCTAGCCAAGTTATTAACCAGACAAAACCTGAGCTTCCTCGGAGTTCTTGAAATGTAATTAACTAATAGTTGATTGCGGATTTATCCATATAAAAAACTTCACTAATTGGGAACAAAGATGAAGATGGAGAATCAATTTAAAGAAGTGACATTGTGGTAAATGTTCATGAATTTAGTAGTTGTTGTTGGTAATTTTACCATTCTCGTGTGATTAGAAAATCAAGTATCAACTAGGATATGACCCGCGGTACACCGCGGGTTAATTTTTTTTCTTACAAAATAATTTAAATTATAGGTTGTATTTGTTTTGGTAATATTGTTTGTTTTGTTTAGTGTTTAAAATTATATAATTGTATTTTAATTCTTAATTCTAGGATTTCACCCGTGATTAAATATCATTTTTTTATTTCTTTTTAATAGTACTTTATTTTGGAGACATATAATTCGAATCAATTTAAAAATTTGCTTTCAAATGGTTCTCATAATATATAAGTTTATTTATAGAGGTTCAAATATTATATTAATATTATAGTTTTAATATCAAAGTTTATATTTATAAATTGATTATATTAATATCATAGTACTTTATATATTTATAAATAAATTATGCTAACATAGTACTTTATATTAATATCAAAGTTTTTATTTATAAATTGATTGTTGCATCAAATATATTTGTTAGCATAATTATAGATTGTATTGTATATGTGTGTTAATAATATAATTTGATCTATAATCATTTTATTATAACTAAAACAATAAATCATTTCAAGCCCAATAAACAAAAGGCAAGCCCAAATATGCCAAGAGAGCAAAACCCAAACTGAGTAGATATTTTGTGCTCATATTATTCCAGAAAAAAATTAAGAAAAACGAAAATTGGAAAAAAAACAAAATAAATTGATGGTTTCCTGAGAAACAAAAAAAACACACAAAAATATGTAAAACTGAAAATCGACAACAGGCTCGGTGTCTCGCCGATTGAATCCCAATTCGATTCCGTTCTACATGACTTCCTATTCAAGGATTATAATCGGTTCCGAAGAACATGTTCAAAGCTGAATCAATAGGTAAGAGAATTTCAATCGTTACCGATAATATAGATATCGAATTATTTGCTTTCCAAACAAAGATTTGTTGTTTGTACATAGGTTTATTTTTAAAGACGATTTCATTTTGCATGTCTTTATTCCGAATTACGATTTGATTGTGAAACCAATTTCTAAAGTTTGGTCATACATGAAAAAACATAACTTATGAATCGATTGATGCAACCACTTGTGGTTTGACAGAGAAAGAACTTCGGAAAATAATATGAAAGCTTGTTGAAGGGTTTGGCAATGATAAAGACAATATACTATCAAAACCCGTGAAGGTAAGAAAGAGATTGTATGTAGAATCAAGTTTTTGTTATATAGGATTATATGCTAAGAATATTGTTAGATTCATGGCAATGGTTATTAACCACATACCACCATATAGTTTGCAGCTGGGTATCAGCGTATAGGTGTGGAGGACATGCACAAAAGGAAAAATTCAGAAAAAAGCTCCTAAGATTATAGATCAATGTATGTTGATGGACCACATCAAATGCTTTGAAACTGTGGCCGTTGGAGTGAAAGACATTGTACCATATTCAGTCGCCTTCAGTTGTGGATCTAGAATATCCAGAGGTAGTGTATATACAGACTTACAGAGAAAGCAAAGGATGCGGCCATTGGTGTTGGTAAGGTTTTTGACCTTAAGCTAGAGATCAGAATTGTATTGGTTTTTTCTGTGTTTAGAGGTAGGAGAAATGAGCGATTATATATAGAGTTTTGATAGGTTAGTAGGGTTTTGGGTTAGAGGATAAAAATAATCTTGATTAGCAAGGTTTGAATATCTTTGAAAATCTTTAAATCGTCATATACTTTTAACCAATTTAGGATAATATCGTTAAAATCGTTTATATATGAGATATTTCCAAATATTTAAGGTTGATTGATTCCAGAATTTATATAGCTCATTTATTTAGGAAAAAAAAATATTTTGCACTTAATTCATTAGCACCTATTTAGGAAACGATTTGGATCAATTTGTTATAACTATATATTCTCCATATCTTTCAATTATGAGAAACTAAATGCATTTTGCCTTGAATGTAGGAAGCATCAAATATGGTAAGATTCGATTGAGAAAATTCGGGTAGAAAATCACAAAGAAGGTAAGATCTGATTGTCTCCAAGTCGGGTCGAAATAAATGATTTCCGGGTCAAAATTTTGATCCGATTAGGGACCCCAAAAACTGCTGCAAAAATGTATAGTAGATAGAAGCCGAAAAAAGATACACGAGATTAGTTAAAATTTTGGGTAATTAACTAAGAATTGACCATTGTACATTTGTTTTAAAATGTTCGATAAATTTGATGAGAATAAAACTTGTAAGAACTACTTATTTATTTATTTAATCACACGAGTGACTGTAACGAAATCAAAGTTATAACATCCTCATTGTTACACGTATATATAATTATATAATAGTATATAATAGACCTAAAAAAATACATAGTTTGGAAGAATCTTATTTTGGACTGTTTATATAATTAAACATTCCTTCCAAATGCTTTACACCAAATCAAACGGACTTTCACGATTGTTCGGCGCCGCCACGTGGCATCTATAACCTTCGTTGGATCTTGCCTTTCCCACGTCACCATTTTGTCATTTTTATTGTCTTCTCTTTTAATACTACTTTTTCTTTCCCTCACTTTCTCCGTTTCTCGTCTTCCTCTTAAGATTTTCCGAGAAAATCACCACTGAGAAAAGAGAGAGAGAGCAATACATTTATAGAAAGCTTCATAAGTATTCTCTTCGCCGCCATGGCTATCGAGATTCATCGATTACGCGTGTTTTTGCTCTGTGTGTTTGCGTAACTTCGGTCAACTATTAGAACGAGAGCGAGGTTTGTCAGAGAGATAGAGAGAGGTATGGGTTCGTCCTTGTCAAATCTAAACGACGGGACGAATTGTTTGGCTATGGGACCTGGTCTCGGCGATATACCGGAAAGCTGCGTCGCTTGTGTGTTTATGTATCTGACTCCGCCGGAGATTTGCAATCTCGCTGGATTGAATCGTTCATTTCGTGGTGCGGCTTCGTCGGATTCTGTTTGGGAGAAGAAGCTTCCGGCGAATTATCAGGATCTGCTTGATTTGTTACCGCCGGAGAGGTATCATAGTCTCTCGAAGAAGGATATTTTCGCTGTGCTTTCTCGTCCAATTCCCTTTGATGATGATAATAAGGTATTTGTTTAGGGAATTTCGAGAGATTGATTTTGATTTTGATGTATTGGATTTGGGAATTAGGGTTTTGATTTGGTTTGGATGAATTTTCTATGCAGACAGTTTCAGATTGAACTCTGTGTGTTTTTTTTTTCCAGGAACTATGGATTGATAGAGTTACAGGACGAGTTTGTATGGCAATTTCTGCGAGAGGAATGGCTATTACTGGAATTGAAGACCGGAGATATTGGAACTGGATCCCGACGGAAGAATCTAGGTACTATAGAACAAACGCTTCTTGATTTGAATCTCAAATTGAATTTAGAAAGATCAACAAGTGTGTCAAGAATCTTGTTTGTGGTAATGTCATTTGACTTGAATTTCATGAGCTGTTGATACTTTGTTTCTTAGGTCTTGCTTGAATAATGATCTCTTAAGTATATAAAAAAAAAAAGAATTGGAGAAGTTTGTGTGAAGGTTACTCTTTGATTAATGGCCTGATTTCTCTTTGTGATTCTGCTTTTGAGTTTTGATGAGTAGCTAATATAGATAATTAGTGTTCTTACCTAATCTTTATGATTATGGATTTGAGGTGTTATTGTAGTGATGATTCTTCCTCGACAGTGATATATTTCTGCATCAGGTTTTGTGTGAGACTGCTTTATACCATAAAACTTCAAACGGGTGCTTTATGTTTTTGGTTGTGTTCGAACAAAAAGTAAAATCCTTTTTTAATCTTCCCTTGAACAGGTTCCATGTTGTAGCCTACTTACAGCAGATTTGGTGGTTTGAAGTTGATGGAACAGTGAGATTTCATCTCCCACCTGGTATATACTCTCTATCATTCAGAATCCATTTAGGGAGATTCACAAAAAGGCTAGGGAGACGTGTGTGCCACTTTGAACACACTCATGGTTGGGATTTAAAGCCGGTAAGGTTTTCGCTTTCGACTTCTGATGGTCAAGAAGCATCATGTGAATATTACTTGGACGATGTAGAGAGAGACGAAGCACTCAAGCAACACAAACGCGGTTGCTGGATCGACTATAGGGTTGGAGAATTCATAGTGAGTGGATCAGAACCATCGACCGAAATCCAATGGTCGATGAAACAGATTGACTGCACACACTCGAAAGGCGGGTTATGCGTTGATTCAGTCTTCATAAACCCAATTGGTGATGTGAAAGAACATACCAAAACACCAAAAGCTTTTGATTCTTTCAAGGTATAATATTAATGACTGATGTTTAATTTCATTTCTTATTAGTGGTTTTGTCGTCGTTTTTTTTTACTGGTTCCCCAAATTAGGGTACATCGAGTCGACGATACGGTTTCATTTTATTATTGTGCATTTCATCGAGTTTTTTTGTTTCGTTTATTTCATTACTCATATTGTTACATATTTTAGGTGAGAGGACTATTTCTTTTGTGTATACCCATGTTTCTGTGACTTTCTGTATCCAACCAAGATATCTAAATTATATTGTGTCTGACTAATTCTAATTATTTTTGTGGTGTGCTTGCATTTATTTTATATCATATCTATTATCCAATCAGAGATGGTATGCATAGGATTGGATCGAAAATTTTTAAGCTATCTAAATATAATTATTCAAAATCTTTTAATATAGTCAAGCTTATCCAGAAATTCAGAAGCTTGAAGTCCTGAACTATCGAAATAACTATATTATCTGATAAAACAGATAGGAATATAGGATACAGGATTCTTTTCAATGTTATCTGATAAGATGTCAATACTACACTCGAGATATTTTCATTTCTTATCCTCTTGGTTTTTCTATAAAAAATAATGTTGTGTAGGAGTGCAACTGATATTTGTTTTAAAAGTCTGATTTAACAAAAGAATCAGAATTAAAAGGTCTGAATATCCAATATGGTTATATGTCTCGTCTATATTAGATCTGGATTTTTCGTTCGATTCTAAAATGCTAATATTCAGATTCTATAAAAAATGAACAAAACGTAAAAGATTTATTTACTTTAATACATGAAGTGAGCAAAACTTAATATGATCTGTTTTTTTTTTTTTTTTTTTTTTTTGTTGTTGTTGCGGTATATAAAGTTGATCTTGAATAATATGAACAAATATCATGACGAATCCAAAACAGAGAAAAGAATTGTTAAAGAAAATGAAAGATAGTTCCAAAAATATTTAAAGAAACAAAGAGGGAACATAACAAGGAGGAAAAATGCATGTAGAGCGATGGTTGAGCTGAATTGGGAATGGCCAAGAAACTCTCAGCTATCATGTGACCGAGCCGGACCTGAGAGGAAGTGGTCAGATGCAAACCATCCGGTTCAAGTGGTAGGCCTCTGGCATCAACACAATACACGTTCTCAAGATCTGTCTTCAATTGAGCTTTTCTCACCGCGTCAAGATATGGTCCTGCTCCTGTCGCTAGAGCCACCTTTTGTTGTTTAGGTCAGAACAAAATAGATATTAGAAGCATGTAACTAAATATCAGAGATTCTTTCTAGAATTTTTAGGTAAAGACCAAAATGTCAATTTGAAAACACCCTGTAAGCTGGATTGGTACGATATTTAGCCACAGCCTGGATTAAAACAATGAATATATTCACGAAATCATGAAAGCTAAACTACAAAAAGCTATGCAAGAATAGAAATAATGGAATGCATTAAATAAGTTAAATCCATGGTTATACTACACTTGCGGAATCACTAAACATAATCGACATTCAACAAAATAATAAAGTGCTGTGAAATTATTCTGCTATTTTATTTACGCATTACAAATTAGTGTAGGCAACGTACCTGGATAATAGGAAGATTTGGCTGATGTAAATCATTTCGAAGATCATTGAAAAACTTGACTAGTCTCTTCTTATAAACTGAAGCATCAACCATATCAACCGTATCCGACTCACCCTGATACCACAAAACCGCCTGGTACGAGCCACCACCACTAGCCACCGCCGCTTTGGACCTCCGAACCGTTTCCTCGTAAAGAAACTGACCTTTTTGCCATTGGCTTAGTTTAGTCCCACCGATAGAGCACGGAACCAAACCCACCTGACCAAACCGGGTAATCACTCGGTTTGCAAATGACATTCCTGGTCCAATACCATTGGTTTTGTTAACATCAATGTCAACGTGTAGTGGCTCTTTAGCCTCTTTCCACTCGAGTTTGGCCGTGAGACGGAGGATCGAAGGGTTTGATCGACATTCCGGCGGAATTACGCCGTCCCACACGGTGTTGTTTGTGGCGGTGTCGTTATAAACTCCGCCTCGACCCGCCATGTTGCTTTGCCCCGCCAAGATGAAAATGCTAATGTTTCTTGGAATGGTTTGGGATTGGATTTGTGGTGAAGATTGAAGAAAATTGATGATAAAGAAGTAGTAGAAGATCTTGGTCATTGTTTCGAGTAAGCTTGAAGATTGAGATTGAGATCCAAATCAGAGTCGAAGTGAGAAGCAAGACAGAATAATGTTTTCTTCCTGTTTTGTCTCTTTCTTTTTATTCACTTCAAAAATACTTGTTTTTCTTTTTACAGAAAGAAGAATAATTGGTTTGGTAATTAGTCAATAGACTTCAAAACCTTTTCACATACACAACATGATTATATATAAAAAGGACTATTTTCTGTCTCGATACCTACACTTCATAATGATTTTAAAGTTTGATTAATTAAATAACGTAGCATAACTGTATAACTGGGTGATCTAAGTGACACCATAAGTAAAACCGAGATCGCCACATGTACAAACCATCAATGATTCATTTGTTCAATTTCTTCAAGATCTGTAATGTTTTCCAAAATATTGGAGGTGTTTGGATGAGAAAAAAAAAACTACTCAAGAACCAAAAATAAGAGGAAGAAGATCATGCTGAGCGAATATGCAAGAGGGCGTGGCAAGTGAGTGATGAGTTCTTCACTTTTTGTTTCTTTTTTTGCTTTTTATTTATTTATTATATACTTCTTTTTCGTGTAGGATTCAATTTTTGAAATATATCATCAATTTTCCCTTTTTCAATTATACATACTAGGAATATTCCTATGAATTTTACAAAAGAAACTTTAGGTCAGAGTGACTCTTTGGCCTTCCCTATTTTTATTTTTTTTTGGCCTTCCCTATTGTAATGTATTAACAAATTGCAAACTCCGAGAGTGTAATAGAGCTACATCGTTATTTTTTAATGTATTAACAAATTGCAAACTCCGAGAGTGTAATAGCTCCCCTGTCCAAATCAGACAACCTGCAAATCAATTTCTGTTAACGATGTACAGTTATAAAAAACTCTAACAATTCGACATGAACATCTGAGGAGCCCTCATCTACGTCTTTACAAGAACTTGGCATGCACTCTACTGAGATCATTGCGAGGGCTGCCACAGAGGCTCATGTGGAATGTAGATGATCAGTCTACGTTTTTCCATGGCCTTAGCACTTATTGAGGCCGGTTGGTTCTCTATGCCCACTTAACAAACAAGTTTCATCTCCGTGCGTAAAGTGTCTGTTGGGACACAAGAGTTCACATGATATTTCAAGTTCTGATGGAACTGGAATAGGGATTGTCGTCTTTGTTTGCCACCCACACGTAGTCTCTCACAAAAGATTACGTATGGGTCGCAAACAAAGACCACAGTCCCTTAATTGATTGATAAAGTATTACCGTAGATATCCAAAAGAGGAAAGAAAAAGAAAGGTGTAAGAATGGTGGTAATGTGGTAGAGTTATCATTTTCTTCTTCTTACTTCCTTTATATAGTGTTTCACATGCCCATACCTAACCCAAAGAAAATCGTTTCGGTTTTAAATTGCATAATTTTATTAATAAAGTAAACTCATAAAAAAAAAAAATTATAAACTTGGCAAACGTTTTTGTTTCAACAAATTACAGTATATGGATTTCATACTTATATACCAACTATATACATCCACAAAGTCTTAGTAATAATTAGCACCCATTATACAAAAATTTAAAATTTAACTTAGTTCATTATACAATAGAATCGAACATAAGGCACAACAATTTTCTATCATATCTCGAATGTATCGAAATGTACTTGAGAGTATGGCATTTTGGGGGACAAGGATCATGCATGAACAAAATATTTCTCCTCCGACATATGTTATGTTTTGCCCCGTGAAAATTTTCCACAAGTAAATTTATTGCTAAAGTTATTGGCCAATAACATAAATCTTGCTGAAATGAATTAGTTGAATAGTGAAAAACTGAACCAATATTCATTCTGTTCCTCACACTGCAACTTCAGTTCTGATGCAATCCGTAACAATTGAGGTTGTCCACATGTGCACAACAATCCTGCATTGATTCTAGCAAAAGACCATAAAGATACGTAACCAGATTGCTGTTTGCTCAGTAGTTGCAGCAAGAATCAGCTATTGGAACGTAGGAGAATGATATGACATTGTGTATCAACATAGTTTACACCAATAAGAATCGACTTCTCTTCTAAGAGAATGATATGACATTGTATAGCAACATATTAAACAATGTTCTATAAAGATTTATAGGAAAAATGAACTCTTCTTGATTTTAATAATAAGAGGAAAAGAGAGAACAGTGAAATGAAGTTCATAAGCAGCAAAATTCTCAAGTCTGATATTATAAGAGTAGCAAAAGTAAGAGACAAAAGCGAAATAACAAGGTTTACGTTTTGCAGAATATTCAGAAATCAACATTAACTAGTAAAAGAAGCCACTAGCAGAGAAAGACACAGAGTGAGAAAATATGGCTTAAGCTCTTCAGCGTTTGCCACCACCACCTCCCAACTTAGGACCCTTTGATGCAGCAGCAGCTTTGGGGAAATTTGCCTTGACCTTCTGTTGCTTAGAAGCAAATTCCACCTTCTTAGCCTTCTTTTCATCTTTGGTCTTTTTAATTCTTTCCTTGATCTCACTGTTTAATCATCACAATTCATTTAATAAGTCAAATACTTTTCTCAATCATAACAATTTGATTCTGATTGGATGATTAGAGAGAGAAAGAAAACTAACCGCAGAGCAGCTTCTCTGGCAGCATCACGAACTTCTGGCTTCTCAGCTCTCTTCTTCTGAATCACCTCCAAGGTAGCACCAACAATGGACCTTGAGTATGGCTTCTTGGTGGCACGTCTTCTTCTCTTCACAGCCTCTTGAGCTGCATCCTATAAAATAAACAGAGTTTTAAAAAGTTTACTAGTCAGGATCACTGTCAAAAGCCCAAAGTAGGGACACAAAACAGAACCAAAGCACTGAGTTGTTTCTAACCTTCTTGTGTTGCTTTCTGTACATGGCAGTCCATGTAAGCTTGGATGGCTTCAACTTATTGTGGAAGTACCTCTTACACTTTGAGTTAGCAAACAAGAAAACCTGATCAACCATGAAAACAATACCAACCATTAAGAGACTAAAAACAAAAACATTTGCAAAAGCTCAAGATTGATAAAAGAGCTAACCTGAGAATCAGATCGGATAAACCTAATTCCTCTTCCTGGGTAAATCTTCTGGCCACTGAAACGACAAAGCTCTGTCCTGTATTCCAAACATAACCAACGAATGAGACATAAAAAACTAGACAAAACACAAGCAAATGATAGAAATGAATCATCCTATACCAAATCAAGACTAATTATAGCTCCAGCGACAAGTTTCATACTTTTACAACTTATCAAACATTTCGAGCAAGATCCAATTACTGCAGAACACAATCTCATCCTCTAATAGAAACCCACGAAATTACCCAGATTCGACTACCAAACTAACTAGAAAGTAAACATAAAAATCCGATTGAAACAAAGGGCGAATTCAGAGAGAGAGAGGTCAGATTTGATTACTTGAGAACCATGGCTGCTGATGATGTTCCTCTTCGTCTTCTTCTTCCTCCTGCTCAGTCTGCTCCCGTAAACCCTAATTCTATCGACGCTTATATATAAGTGACTACAACGACACTTCACATTTCACCCAAATCCATTGTCGTTTATTATATAAATTATGCTGGCCCAATATCAAATTAAACAGGCCCATTATTTTGTTGGCCCATACATTTGTAGTAATGACGTCAGCATCTCCTCCAATAATTTTATTTTTTTCCATAGCCGACGACGGTAGAGGAAACATGTCAATGGACCTTAAAAAACGGTGACGTTTCGTAAAGGTAGATGAAAGTTTGAACAAGTAGCTAAGCTCTCTGCACAAGCTTCCAGAAAAATCAAATCAAATCAAAAGAGAGAGAGAGAGAGATCCAAGAAATTGGATTCAATCGTCGCCGGATATTCCAAGCGTTGAGAGAATAGTTTGTCTCCCGTTGCGTCTAGATTTAGTGAATATGGAGGTGGAGAAGTGGAACAGCGACGGTGGTGAATACACGTCGGAGGACGAAGGTACGGAGGATTACCGGCGCGGCGGTTACCACGCTGTTCGGATCGGTGACTCATTCAAAAACGGCCGGTATGTTGTTCAGAGCAAACTCGGTTGGGGTCATTTTTCTACTGTTTGGCTCGCTTGGGATACTCAATCCTCTGTACGCATCTCTCTCTCTCTCTCTCTCTCTCGCCACTTTTTATACGAATTGCTTGAAGCTAATCCTGTCTTGGTTCGGAGCTAAGTTTAGATTCTTGCTCATCTCGTGAACCTAATGAAGTTGTGATACATTCTTATTTGGTGTCTTTGAAGATGTTTCATGTTTGGATAGTTATATGAATTGTAGAAGAGATAAATTTTTGGTTGCTTTGTTTGGTGATTTCTTACTCGTATCGAATGTACAGAGATATGTGGCTTTGAAGGTGCAAAAGAGTGCTCAGCATTATACTGAAGCTGCCATGGATGAGATAACTATACTGCAACAGATTGCAGAGGGAGACCCTGATGATACTAAATGTGTTGTGAAGCTTTTGGATCATTTTAAACACTCGGGTCCGAATGGGCAGCATGTATGTATGGTTTTTGAGTATTTAGGAGATAATCTGTTAACGCTGATTAAGTATTCTGATTACCGTGGCTTGCCTATTCCGATGGTTAAGGAGATTTGTTATCATATGTTGGTTGGATTAGACTACTTGCATAAACAGCTTTCAATTATACATACGGATCTGAAGCCTGAGAATGTTTTGTTACCGTCGACTATTGATCCATCTAAAGATCCGAGAAAGTCTGGAGCTCCTCTTGTTCTCCCCACTGATAAGGATAAGACAGTTGTTGACTCCAATGGGGATTTTGTCAAGAATCAAAAGACAGGTAGTCATAGAAAGGCAAATATTTCGGCTCATGGAAATGCAGAGAGTAAGGGAAATACTGAATCTGACAAAGTTCGTGGAGTGGGATCACCGGTTAATGGAAAACCAAGTGCTGCAGAAAAATCAGTTGAAGAAGATTGTCCTTCTACTTCTGACACAAATGGATTAGATGGCAGCGAGAAAGGAAAGCAAGGTGGTAAGAAAGGGAGTCGATCAAGTAGAAGGCACCTTGTGGCATCTGCTGACCTCAAGTGTAAACTGGTTGACTTTGGTAACGCGTGTTGGACATACAAACAGTTCACAAGCGACATTCAAACGAGACAGTATAGGTGCCCAGAAGTAATCCTTGGATCTAAATACTCTACATCAGCAGATCTCTGGTCATTTGCGTGCATATGTTTTGAACTTGCCACTGGAGATGTGCTATTTGATCCCCATAGTGGAGACAATTATGATAGAGATGAGGTATGCTTAAGTTCCCTGCTGTCTTTTTGCTGTGTGCATTTATGGTTTCTACATATTTTGGCTTTCTCTTCTCGTGTTTTGTGGGATCTTAGCGTGGATATGCTTTTCAGAACCTTCCAATTTTCTTTGATGCTAGTTTTGAAAATCTAATTGGCTTTTCTGTTAACAGGACCACTTGGCTCTGATGATGGAGCTTCTTGGGATGATGCCACGCAAGGTAATAGAATCATCAGCAGATAGTTTTATCACTTTACTAAGAAATTTGTTTCGATGATTTCATAATCCCCAACACTTTCTCTGTTGTATTTTGCAGATAGCATTGGGAGGCCGCTACTCCAGAGATTTCTTTAACAGGCATGGTGATCTTCGACACATCAGAAGACTGCGTTTCTGGCCCATGAACAAAGTGCTGACCGAGAAGTACGAGTTCAGTGAGCAAGATGCAAATGACTTGAGTGATTTTCTTGTTTCGATTCTTGATTTTGTCCCCGAGAAACGACCAACTGCAGCTCAGTGTCTGTTACATCCCTGGATCAACTCTGGTCCCCGCTCTATAAAACCTTCACTCTCGCCTAAAGACCAAAATTCCGAAGATAAGCTTGATACAGAGGAAAAGAAGAGGGAGAATGAGGAGCAAGAAGCTGTGGAAGTTAAAATGGGGAACGTTGTCATATCATCCTCAGACTCTAAACCAGGTATGAGCCAAAGCTCCACTCTTAAGCAAGCGATTGACTTCTGAGATTTGTCTGTTCGATATCTGAGTTCTGTTCTGTTCCGCGATTGAGGAAATTGTGATTTTCAAAATCGGCTCTGTGAACCACTCAAGCTGTTTAATAGAAAGAACAATTTCATATATGCAGAGTGGTATCTTGTTTGTGTACTTCTACGAATCCAAATACCAATATTCACATTTGACATATATTTGATTTGAGTTATGATCTTATAAAACCACCGACTCTGTTTCCGACTCCTGACTGCTGCTTCTTTGTTCCTAAATCTTTGTGCAAGTCCAGTTTCCGGTTTGGAGCTAGTATGTTATAACACCATTAAGTAGATTTATTTACTACAACAACGAAAATCAAATATGCAAAACAGTAGTTTTATTACAAGTCAAGATCGAAAAAGACATAACAGAGAAAATAAAAACTAGTTATCGTCGTTTTACAGAAAACCACAAAACGTATAGTTATAATTTTATCACAGCTTCCCTTTCTCTTCCACGACGACTTTCACTTTCTGTGTCTCTTCATCGATCTCTCCAACGTCGTTGAAAGTTTGACCGGTCATCTGATCCGCCGCTTTCAGTACCGTCGCGATGTATCCAGGCCTAGTATCTTTCACGTCAACCGCCACAATTGTCTTCCCCGTGCTCTCGCCTCCACTGGCCGCGGCGCTTGTCTCCTCGTCAGACGGCGTCGTAGTACCAGTCAGCTTGCTCTTTATAGCTCCGGTCATGTTCCCCAACGCACCCATTATACTTCCCTTCCCTTCTTCACCTCTACAAACGATAATTCCAACAACTAATTAACACATCCACTAATTCCTACCTTGGATCAAATCTTTTTCAGGACATCGTGTCTTATACCTTTGGGCTACGGAATCCTTAGTCTCTTGGGCTCTGTCAGCAGCTGATTCGGTGCTCTGTTGCGTCTTTTTAGAAGCATCCTCTTCAAGTTCTTTACCCTCAAGTCTCATCTCTTCCATCTTCCGCCTCGCTTCTTCTCCCGCCTCGTCCATCTTTTCCTATTTAATTAAGGACGGACATCATATACTAGCCAACAAAGCATATATAAATACATTCAATTCTCTGTTAGTTATTACCTTGGCCGTGTCTTTGGTCTCAACGGCTTTTTGTTTGGTTTCTTCTGTCTTGCCCGACAAGAAACCCATAGCTCTTTTAGCTGTGTCCACTGCACTATCCTTCAGTTCACCAAGCCTACTCACTCCTGCATCTTTCCCTTCTGTCGCCTTCTCTGCCGTGTAGTCTTTATATTCGCCCACTTTCTCAGCTGTCTTATCTTTCGCTTCCCTCGCCTTCTCCGCAGTTTCATTTGCTTTCTCTGCCGTCGTATCCTTAGCTTCTTTCGCCTTATCCACCGTGTAGTCTTTGTACTCACCCAGCTTCTCCGCCGTCGTGTCTTTTGCTTCCCTTGCCTTATCCGCAGTATATTCCGCAGTTTCCTTTGCTTTCTCTGCCGCCTTATCCTTAGCTTCTTTTGCCTTATCCACCGTGTAGTCTTTGTACTCACCCAGCTTCTCGGCCGTCGTGTCTTTGGCTTCCTTTGCCTTCTCTGCCGTGTATTCTGCGGTTTCCTTCGTCTTATCCGCCGTTTTATCTTTAGCTTCTCTTGCCTTCTCCGCCGTGTAACCTGCGGTTTCCTTTGTCTTATCCGCCGTTTTATCTTGAGCTTCTCTTGCCTTCTCCGCCATGTATTCTGCGGTTTCCTTCGTCTTTTCCGCAGTTTTATCTTTAGCTTCTCTCGCCTTATCGGCCGTGTAATCTGCAGTTTCCTTAGTCTTCTGCGCAGTACTGTCTCTAACCTCTCCGGCCTTCTCTCCTGTGGCGTCTCTCATCCCCGCTGCCTTCTCTGATGCAATTTCGGATCCCTCTCTCGTTGACTCAGCCGCATCATGGCTTTTACCTATCACTGCTTCTTTAGTTCCTTGCACTGCCTTCATCACTGAACCAATCAGCCCGGGTCTCTCTGGCTCGGTAGTTGTTGTCCTCTCCGTCACCTTGTACGTCACGTCACCTTTGTTGATATCTTTCAAATCTTCAGCCGCTAGACTCGCCACAGCCTCAGCTCTCTCGGCCTTCGCGGACCTCTCTGCCTCCCGTTGTCCTGATGCCATGATTTGTTTCTTGTTTGCTTGGAATCCAAGAAATTTTAGAAATGATTTCTTTTTAATTTTCGAATACTCGTCCTGTTAATGAAGGAGCTGCTTGTTGGTTTTATAGCAAGTGTTTTGGTTACAGTGAGATGCCACGTCATGACTTTGAAAAAGCAAAAGCTGCCACGTGTGTTCTGGAACGTATTTTTTTTATTTTCATGCTCATCTTCCAAATATCATTTTGCCCGACACGTATCTAGGAAGTTCGTTCTATTGAGGAACCATGCCACGTGGGCTTTTCATGCATCGAGAGAGCTCCCATACTTAACGTGTAAGGAAGCAATTGTGGTCGGCTCCCATACTTCTAAATTGTGTAGTACGAGTATTAAAAATTGGGTGTTTCTTTTTTCTTTCTTTCTTGTTTTTGGTCGAAGGGAAGAGACAATTATTGGCTTCATCGGTATTTAAAAAAAAAAATCAAATGAACATGTTCTGAAATAGACTCAAACGAAAATCCAACATCAATGAAAACACAAAGTAACTCCACAAAACGATTAGCTTTTTTTATACATAAGTTATATGCACTATTTTGTTTTTTTTTTCTTTTTTTTTTTTCTTTTGAATATCTACAAATTCAAGTGTAAAAGCTCTACATTTTTTAGAGGTGGAACCCATATCAGATTAAATTCATCTATTTTGAAGAAGAGATCCCCTTCCAACAGGCGTCGAACTCAATACCTCTACCTGAGAGATTTACCACTGCGCCAACACAACGTTGGTTATATGCACTATCTAATCTTTTGATATCGCAAAAACGTATTAAAAATGACAATGGATGAAAATTAATGATATTTTTCTTATAAACGAGTCACTATTTTTGAATCCACTTCAATTTCCAGTCTCGTAACCTTTCCAAAACAACATGATAAACTGTCGAAGCATTTTTTCTTCTCATGATAAACGCTGCCATAACTTCATTTTCAAGTTAGTTTCTTCTTATTTATTCATTAATGTATTGTTCTTAGGTTCCTTCTTAGGATTGGGTCTCACAATCGAAGATATATATGGGGGAGATTGATGGGGACACTGTTATCTTTATATAACCTCAATTAACCACATGTTAAAAATTAAATTGAGTGGGTTCGAATAGGCTAACTGTTAAAACTTAATAAAAGACAAAGTCTTATCCTATAAGAATTTAATAAATTTGGATTTTTATTTTGAATTTCAATTAAAAATTTGGATATTAAAAACTTACAGATTCTTTTCTTACCCTAGTGGTAAAAACTTGAAATAAAATAAAATAAAATAAAATAGGGCAAAGACAAGAATCGGGAAGAAAGAAAGCTAGGGTTCCTTGCACATAAGTCTCTCATATCTGTGATTGGAGTGATGCCATCGCCGATCGGATCCGATGTACCACCTTCCCCGAAGTGTCAGAAGTTGGAGGAAACAACCTCTGATGATAGCGACGATGATTACTACGAGCAATTAGAACTCTTCAACCAAGAGATGAGGAAGGGCGGGGTTAGGGGTTTTCCAATTTTCTTCTTTTCTTTTTTTCTTTCTTACAAGAAATATTGATTCTCTGCATTGTAGGGTTTTGAAATCGACTTCTCGAAATTTCGCAACTGTTTTGATTGGCAATCATTGGATCTGGACGACAGTACAATGGCTGACGAACCTGAAACCAACAGAGATTTAATGACCATGTTGTCCAATCGGGCTCTCGCCAAGCACAACGATGAAAACGTTAGGACTTACCTTTTTTTTTGGACTCTGTTTCGAAATTTGATTGCTGTTTTTTGGGGTTGTTGTTGTTTTTTGGTGTGGTAGGGAACAAGTCTGGAATTGGGAAAGATTTTGAGGGCAAACTTTCATCCATCTTCTGGAGTTACTTACTATATCTCTTTCGAAGTCAATGATCCGTCTGATGGGAATCAGACAAAGCCCTATCAAGCAGTGGTTCGCCACGACATTGCTGGAAATGCTAGAGTAATCTCTTGCAACCCTAAACCACCCTCTTCTTGAATTCGTGAGAGGTTTGTGATATATACACATCTATCCAACTTCTTTGTATCATTATGGCTAGTGTGTATGTTTGCGTTTCAGCCAAATTATGTATGGATAATTTGCTACTTATATAAATAAGTAATCGTCACATTATTGAGTTTTTGATTATAAGTAAAAAGGAATTACTATGGGACTTGAGGTTTGCTCACATGGTTAAACATAGAGAGACTCTGATATTTTTCAAACAAACACTTGAAGCAAAAATTAGCACAACTACCAAAATAATCTGCAATGAAAAGCCAAGCACTTTAAATCGTTATATACCATCAACTGAAACCTCAAGTTGCATAATATTTTATTTACAGAAAAAACTAAAGTGGCATTTTCTATCAGTAAAGGTCAGCACTGAATACTTTCAAAGTTGGTCCTACTGACTTGAGAAATCTATTGGCAACTAAACCTGTAAAAAGGAAGCCCTCCGTCATTTATTTAGAAGAAGAGAGTCTCCATATCAAACTTTCTCTCAAACCACCAGCTGAATGGTTTCGACGAACATGGACGGTTTGTTCTTTCCTCGGCTGGACTTCCTTGTAATTTTGCCAAAACCGTTCTGTCCCCATCCTGTACCCCAAGAATTCTGAATTTCCCAGTAGTTGACACCTTCTGGAGTTGTGCCAAAACCAGTCACTAGGACTACATGGAGACCCATGGGTGTGTCTTTGCAATATGTTTGACCTTCATAGATTTCCTGTCATATTCCAGATTTAGAATATATGGAATCAGTTGTATTATGTATAGAAAATGAATTATACCAACTACAAGTTCCACTTACATCTTTACATTTCTTAAAGCTTTTGTAACAATCTATCACAGCAAGTAGAGGGCCATCGTTAACAAGTTGGATCAACTCTTCTTCTTTCACTTCTTTGTCTTTCTTATGTACCAAATCCCTGATTTTGAATGCAGGTTCATCCTACAAGAATTAGTTGATAAGTATGATCACTTGAAAACAAATGAAACTTGTAAGAAGACAAGATTCACAAATGACACTTACACAGTTTTCGCAACGTAACTTTTGGGACAGATTTGTTTGAGTTTTCCTGAGTATGGACAAGTTTTTTCTAGAACAAGACCATGTTCTGTCAAAAACTTTTTGATCTCGTCGTATTTACCGATTTTACCCGATGTTTTACACATGTTTTTAATATTGTTTATCAAATGTTGCGGTGATAGCTCAACAACTACACCTCTAAGAGCAAGCCATGCTTCCATGCATCTTGCTATTGCAACAGCCCAACACAAGTCTATTATCAAAAATAGACAGATTTTTAGTATATATTAATCTAAGTTGATTCCATTAGTTGTCATTTCAAACATGGCTAAATAGATAGATATACACTTACGGAAATCTCCTTGGTCCATGGCAGCTCTAAGTATCTTGTTCCAACTCTTTATATACTCTGTGTACGTAGACGGAAGATCCTACATACAATGGGATGCAGAACTTACTTGAACTGAATGGTAAATTACTTGTGTATGGAATGCGTATAAAGCTAAAACCAAATCAATGTACCTTTGGTCAAAGTTCATCACTTGGAGTTAGTTTCTGAATAAAATAGTTTTAGCAATTAGTAAAACAGAATCATTTTCATGAAGATAAACAAGTCTATATATAAACTATGTAGTGTCTATAAGGGAATGTAGATTAACCTTAGTAGATGATGAGCCAGAGCCTTTGAATTTTTTGGAAGAGGAAGCAAAAAATTTCCATTTGCCACCAGCTCCTACACCAACTAGAGAGTCTTGTGATGTAGTATCATCCGTAGCCTCCATTTTGATCTCTGCATAACAAGCTAGTGTAAGAAAAGTAGAAAACCCAAAAATCAAGAGAAAAGTAGAAACCCAAAAAATCCAAGAGATTCTTTCAATTTGTGATTCACAACAAGGTAGAAGAGAAACAGAGAAGAAGAAGAAGAAAAAGAAGAAGAAACCCTAAAATCCAACGCTAGCTAGTGATGAACGTTGAAGATAGGACGAAGAACGTGTGTTTACCTAGTTTCTTCTCTTCTATCAAATCGGCTACAATGTCTCAATCTTCGTTGCTTCACCAGTCTCGTCTCTTTCTCTCTATTCTTCTTCCCTCTCTCCACTTTTATTTTCTGAAATGACTTACACCTTAACTTGTGGACATTTCATTATATAGAGCAGAGGCAAAGGCAAACGCAAACGCAAACGCGGGGCGATTCTACTATAACAAACATGCGCTTACATGTTTTGTAGGGACCACAACTAAGGAAAGAAACAAGGTTAAGAAGTCTACTAGACTTTCTAATTTGAACCTGAGTTTAGTAATCTTGTTTTACGTTATCAATTTTGGCCTTTTTAATTTGAACCTGAGTTTTAGTATCGATTTTGGATTTTTTTATTAAATTTCAGTATTGGTTTTCTTGTCGATAATAAGTTGAGATATAGAGAAATTTGATGCTTGCAAAAATATTTAAATTAAACCAAGAGAAGACGATTTGCCGCTCTTTGTTTGTAACAAAATCAGAAAAAATAATCAAATATTTTTGTTTTAATTAATCATTATTTTAAAGCCAATTGAAAAAAATAGTTATATACATTTTAAGTTAGTTGAAGACTTGAAGTTGTCTTTTTAACTAATAATAGTAATTCTCAAGAACCACGTCTTTCTTCTTATGCCACACCTGCACGTATATCATATAGATCATGATTAACAATCAATTAAATATATAATTTCTATACGCTTATTGAATTAAACATATTATTGAATTATAAAAACTTATCTAACCTATTAAAATCATATTAGTCTATTTCAGATCCAGTAGGTTCATATTCAACATTCTGAACACCACCCAGGCCAAACAAAAACATTTAGGAAAAAATAATTTGGACAATTTTAACTATTATATATCGTAAATGTGGATTCTATTTAATTCCATTTCATAGCTACTCCAAAAACCAAAATACACTCCAATTTTAGGATTTTCCACGAGAAACAAAAATAGTAAAACTTGAAAACGCGGATACGAAGAAAATTGTCACCAAATATTCATTTTGGGTATCTCCAGTTGGATCCATTTATTACCCTCCTTTATTTACTCTCTCTTAATTTAGTCAAAGTAAATGAATCATGAATGAGTCATATTGGTAGCTAATACGCGTCTTATTATTTATGATCTTTCCAATTGCTCCTACTTAATTACTTCAAGTTTGTGACAAACTTTTTTCATAAGTTTCCTATCTGCGTAGTGTTTATGACTATACTTTATATACTAGTAAAACGTGTAGAGTAAGTACACGGAATATTCTGGCAATGCTAGCTATGTATATATTCATGATTTTCTTAATATCCTTTGTCGTCTTAATATTATTTTCCCTAAAAAAAAAACATTCCAAAACCAAAATTGACAAGGGTAATTCTATGTTCTTGTTCAGAAGTAAAAAGAAGGAGAGCATGCGTGTTGAGATTAATTTAAGATGCATAATATAATAGGTTTATATATACTGTATGTAGTATCTAAACAAATTGTAAAGACATAGTATGCACAGAAGTTTGCCCCCCAAAAAAAAAAGTATGCACAGAAGAGAAATATGTATGTAAGTATATCTATATAATGCATGCATGTACGTACGCGTTTCAAAACATATAGAATGCATTATGCATATACACTAGACAATATGTGGACAAACACATAATAACTTCATAATTGTAGACAATCGTGTCTTCTTACATGTAAAGTGTGTATAGTGGCCGATGATAATGAAAATTTGTAAACCGTTAGAAAGAAATAACAAAAAGACTCGAATCACTTTTTTCCTATATTTCCACCACATTACCTCTCTCCTACCTTAGTCAAAAGGGTAGTTAAATTTTATCAAGGTGCTAAGTTATTGAGGTGAAGAAAAATCAAAAAAGAGGGTGGTAATTACTCTTTATAGTAAAATTTGTTTGTTTTTGGTGTTTTTCTTAAACACGTACTTCACAACTTTTTAAAAATAGTAAAACATGCAGAGGAAGTACACGAATATTCTGACAACTAGTGTTAAGCCCGTACTTCGTACGGGTCAAACAACGATAGCACAATAATGTTTTGAATAATTTTTCGAAAACAATCATAATCTTGATGATGCTCTTGTTTGTGAAGGTTGAAATCAAAGCCTTCATGTATTGAGCAAATATAATATTCATTAGTAAATATTAAAAACTTTTAATGTTAAATTTTGTAATCGTAAGGTAAACAATTTTACAATAAGAATTAGGTATGAAAGATGAATACATCTGAATAACATTTCTTACTAAAGATCTAAGTCCATGGGAGAAATGGAATAAAAACTGTTAAGATTGATTCATAAAAACAAACTTTGGAGAATTAGGAATGCCTTTTAACTCTAGAATTTGCTACAATATGCAAAAATGATTTATTAATGAGAACCCTGCATTTTTTGTAGTATACACACATATAACATTATTGGAAAACCTGGAAAGAAAAGAGTTCAAAGGAATCAAATTTTGGTGTTATAACAGAATATCGCCACAAACAATCTACTTTAAAGCTAAGACTTCCTCTGGTTTTATATTTGAATGCTGAGATTTTTTGTTGATTTCAATGTCACCTTCTAAATCCTCTCTGCAAAATTTTGGCCACAACAAACAAAAAGCATCAGAAAATAGATCTAATTTAGTTCGTCAACTAAGTGTTCTATATTAGAAACATAAAAAATTAAAGTTTTTTGTCATGCATTTTGACAAACAGTTGATAGACAAAACTAATGCCCATGTTATCTGGATCATAATTTAGGTTCCTCTAAAGTGAAGAATCATACCTTTTCGCCAACAATTTCATTTCTTTCCTTTTCTTTCGATTCAATCTCGCCTTTTTCGTTTTCTCTGTGGATCTAGATTATTGAATTTTTGGCTTTTGATGGGAAGACGAAACAAATAGAGGATTTAGTTTGATTTTTTATGAAGTGAGAATTATATTAGTTGCAGGAAGAAGAGATAATGGGCGAAGAGATCGTGGAGCAGTTGAAAAAACTATTTTTTTTTTTATTCATCCTTTTTTTAATTGATTTTTTTTTTCTTCTCCAATAATTAGGTTTATGTTTAAAAAAGTGAAAGACTAAAATTTGAGACTTACGCCACGTGTCAAATGGAAAGGGTTGCAGTTTTTTGTGAATTGACTTATGATTTATTATATAAGGATGCTATGTATATATTCATTATTTTATTAATACTCGTTGTCGTCTTAATATTATTTTCCCTATAAAAAAATATCCAAAACCAAAATTGACAAGGATAATTTTATATTCTTGTTCGGAAGTAAAACAAAGAATGAACGAATAAATTGCAGCTGTTCTCGTGCTTCGGGTCCAAATTAAAAAAAAATAGTATGAATATATATCTATTGTAAAAATGATATATAAACTTTAACTCCTGAAAAAAATGTATCACACTAAAATTCGACATTTTGTGTGAATTCTTGAGCTTTTTATTTTGTTCAACAAAATTCTTACTGCGAAAAAGTAAAGGATCTGGAGTTTGTTTTTACAAGAAACCCATCATTGAAGACTTTGAAGTCATAATACTGGTGTTTATGATAACTTAAAAAGTAAAAATAACAGGTCAATTTTTCTATTAGAAATGTATGTTATAATTACAAAACGTAACCAAGATAAGAAATGCTTATTTTCTAAGATCAAAGTATCGATTTTTCGTTCTTTCTTTCAATTATTTGTGTTAGTATAAAGATAAGTTAATACAAATCCATATATGTATTGGAGACAAGTGTTTATCAAACTATTTAACAATAAATTAAAATATGCTCATCACCATAATTTTAAAAAATTAACTAACTTGGCAAAGTTAAATCATTCTTTAAGCTTCATGCAATCGATATAGTTTGAGATGTCTAGTCAAACACTAAACAAGTATGACTAGTTTTGTTTCAATGATGGAGGTAATCTTTTTCACCACTCTTTTATGAAAAGATAAACCAAAGCTCTAGTTTTGTTTGTTTTGGTTAAGATGTTTAAATGTACACTACGTTTCTCATTTCCACATTTGCTTCATCGAATAACATAACTAGTTGGAAGTAATAATATACATGATAAAGAAAAATGAAAGAATTAAGAAGAAAAAAGGAAATTATGAAATTCCGGCCTTTATATAATAACAAAACGTAACTCAACTAGCAGAGAGAACAAAAATTAAAGATCAATGTAATGGTTGTGAAATATGTGTTTCGTGAAACCGGTTAAACTCTCTTATGTTAGAAAGATATTTTCTTCTATTTGCTACTGAAAATGCAAACCTGTTATTATGTAATCGTATAAAAGTCAAAAGGATTGTTGTTATTCACTAACTCCCCCGAAAGGCAAGAAGAAGGAGAGCGAGAAATGGAGAGAAAACTTCACGACCATACCCACATTATACTAAAATAAAATAAAATTATCCATAAATAGCCTAATTAGCATATTCATATTCCTTTTGATCATTAACGAGAACACCACAACAACAACAACAACAACAACAAAATGGGAGATTCACAACATTGCCGTTGTCTTCATGGCTTTATTTTGCTTGTTGTTATGTTTCTTATCTCTGTGTTTAGTTTAGCTTCAAAGATGGACGTTTCTTCTCACGGTGACCAGAAACGTAGTCTCTCTAGCTCCATTAATTCCTCTCTTAGCGAGTCCGTGGAATATACAATGTGCGCGAATCATAGGGAGGCTAAGGATGGTATAAACCAATCGCATTGGATTTTGATTGTGAAAGAGGATATGTTATTTCTAAGATCACTTACGCCGACTATGGCCAATCCACTGGTAGTTGTGGGAAATTTAAACGCGGTAACTGCGGTGCAAGCAATACCTTAAATATCGTCAAAAAGGTAAACAAAATCAATCACAAATACAAATATTTTTTCAAGTAGTGTCCTTATTATTATCATTTAATTTGTTTGTGCAGAAATGTCTTAGGAAAGAGAAGTGTAAGTTGTTTGTTCCAGACAAGATTTTTGGTCCGAGCCACTGCAAGGGAGCTCTAAGTCTCGTTATTGACGCTACTTGTAGAAAAACTTAGTTTTTTCTTGTTTCCCACGTTAAAGGGATTTTATTTTTAAATGATTCGTAATTTCGTATCGCATCTCTATGTAATAGCTTTTGTTTCCTACTTTATTACACGTTTATTTCAGAGTTTCAATTTTTTTTTTCTGTTTCTAATATTAATTTGAATTTAGTCCAAGTCCTTTGTAACTTTTTTTTGAAAAAGTCCTATGTAACTTAATTAATTACTCAAATTAGGGTTGTTTCTGTTTTCCTATGCATACGTGAATTCATAGCTTTATTAGGGTAAATATTATTAGGAACACTATATATATATATATTTTTTTTTTTGAAAACCTAGGAACACTAGAATCTATTATTCATTTTTACAAGATTATATGTATGTGTAGCTTATTTTGATGGCAAATCCCGAATATGTATGTACGTTTTTGCATATTTGTGTTTTTGTTACATCTTTTTTTCTCTTTGATTGCAAACCCCAAATATGTATGCCATATCTTTTAAGTTTTATCGAACTTTTTAACGGATTACTCAACATTTCATCACAACAAAAAATATGAAGATTTTATCCAAAGAAAAATAAAATGTGAAGACTAACCCGAACCAAATCTTAAAGTGAGAATCACATAAAAACACCAACCAATTTCATTCTTTTTTTTTTTTTCTTTAATCCAATCTGATCAAGTTTTGAGCCGAACCTATAAAATTGGGCCAATTATAAATTCGACCTAGTTCAGCTTGGTGTAATCCACCGACTCTGACAATTAGGGTTTATAAATACACAGACGCATAAGTTCATAACCTAATTACTCCATTATTCTTCAATCTTATTTCATCAAGTTGCTTCCAGAGAAAAAATCCCCCCATAACGAAGTAACCATGTCAAAGAAGATAATCGTGGTGACGAGCTCCGATGGTGATACTTTTCAGATCGACGAAGCGCGCGGTGGCATTCCAATCGGCGATGATAAAGGGTATGGATGAAGATAAGTGTGCCGATAATGGAATCCCGCTTCCAAACGTCACAAGCAAGATCCTCTTGTTGGTTATTGAGTATTGCAAGAAGCACGTCGTCGAGAACGAAGAAGAAGAATATCTCAAGAAGTGGGACACTGAATTCATGAAGAAGATGGAACAATCGATTGTCTTTGATGTTATGATGGCTGCGAATTATCTCAATATCCAAAGCCTTATTGATCTCACGTGTAAAACTGTTGCTGATTTTCTCTCAGGAAAAACTCCAGAGGAGATTCGCGCATACTTCAAGATCGAGAACGATTTTACACCAGAGGAAGAAGCTGAGATTCTCAGGGAGAATCAATGGGCTTTTGAGTGAAAGCGGATTCATCAAAACCAGCCTTGTTTAGTTTTCTTTCTTGTGTTTTAATTCTCAGTTTCTTGATGCGATGTAGATGATGACTTCGTCTATTTCTTGCTTGTTCTGTGTGTTTCTTTTGGTTTCTTGATAGGGTTTGTTGTTTCTTTGCTTTAGAGACGATCTTTTGCTCGATTTTAGTATTGTTTAACCAAATCTTAAGATCCATGTATTGTTTCTGAAGCAATTCTTGAATATATGTGAAGTCAAATCTTTTGGTTCTCTGTGTAAACACTTCCTTTAGGTAGAAGAAGGTTTCTTGCTGTATTATTATGAAGAAATAATAGATTTGCATTAAGGCTATATAGGGTTATACTTTGTTTAATGAAAATGTAAATCTATTATTTAGTGGAAAATTCAGAAGAAATGTCATTCACCAACACCTCCGAAAGCCAAGAAGGAGGAGAAGATAGAACAAAATTTAAACGACAAATTGATAGAAAATTTCGCAGCCACATCCGCACACAAATTCGCATCTCCAAGAAACTTTAATTACTAATATTATTATTTTATGTTAAATCAATATCAAAACATTACATGTTTATACTTAACTACATGTAGCCATCTTAGCATTTTTCAACATCCTTCTGATTTATAAGGGAAACAAAAACTAGAATAAAAATGGAAACTACACATTCTCTTCATCGTCATTGCTTCATCGTTTTGCTTCTTGTTATATCCGCTTCTTATGTGTCTTGTTTCTATTCAAAGAATATCATCAACGGTTCTTATCATGTAAGAGGAATTAAAATTGATCGGAAACGTGTTCTCTCCAGTTCCAAATCTGGAGGATATCAACCGAATAAACAGCCAATATGCATGGATAAACCGGCGCCTAGCGATATATTGCCCATCTTTTGTGGTGAAGGATATGTTATCGCTGAGATAAAATTCGCCGACTATGGCCAACCCACTGGTAACTGTGAAAAGAACACGCTTAAACGTGGAAACTGCGGCGCACCCGCTACTTTGAGGCTCGTCAAAAAGGTTTAACTAAACATATGAATTATCTGTTTGAAATAAGTACTAGCTAGTACTCCATATCTTATTATTATTGTTCTAATTATTTATGCAGAATTGTCTTGGAAAAGAAGAATGTTGGTTTCCAGTAACAGACGAGATGTTTGGTCCGACCCATTGTAAAGGACCTGTTAAATTCGTTTTTTCCGGTACTTGTAAGAAAAAAATGAACTCAAAGGATTAGTGATTCTTATATATAACAAATATTGTATTCTTTTTTTTTTTTTTAATATCAAATTATTGTGATCACTTTGATAGAGCGCATCTTTATGTTGCTAATTTAAGCAATCCCTTGAATCAGGTTCTTGTTTCCTATATGCATATTTGATTGAACTCCTTTTCTTTCCGATTATATATATGCATAAGAAAGAGTGTTATTTGATCCCCAAAAAAAAAAGAGTGTTATAATAAAACATGCTATTTCCACATCACTATGAGAAGATATACCAGCCCACAAACACTTAAACAAATCAACAATTAATGAATGCATACCGCCGCCAAACTTGATGTTTTTGAATGCTAACCTAGTTCAAATTACAATCGAATTTGAAAAGAAAAAACTCCAATAGTACAAGTTTGCTTAAACAAGTAACAAAAAGTTAACTTGGTAAGGATCGACTTGAGGAACAAAAAGTTATGTTTCATATACGAAGAAAGAAGATGTAGCAATATTTTTCAGGATCAAACTAGGTTAACTTGTTGGGGTGAAAGGCATGAGCTAGAGGAATCTTGTCGATAGTATCTTATAAGCTGAATAAAGAAAATTATCAATCTTCATGTTCACACCAATCAACCCTTCTTAACAATGAAGCATATGTAAGAAGACATATATATGACTTGTCTAAAATCATATCCAAATAGATATATAATATATCCAAATATATAAGTATAATAATACAATCAATTAGCGGAGACAAAAGTCTTAAGATCTATGGGATGTGAAGCCAATTAGACTATCTTTTTTTAGGAACCAATTTAAGTATCTTCTGAAAAAGTCAGAATGAATGTCCTTCACCAACACCTCCGAAAGCCAAGAAGTATGAAAAGTGAAAAAGAAAAAAAATAAGTTAGAACATATATAGCTAAACGGACAAATTGATAGTAACTTCGTAGTGATATCCGCACACAAACCTTATACAAATTTAAGCTAACAAGAATATATTTTGAAAGCACACCTATATATCTAAGTTGCTTAGAATTTTCATTTTCCTTCTGATTTGTAAGAGAACAGAAAAAATGAAAACTTCACATTGTTTTCTTCGTTGTCATGGCTTAATCATTTTGCTTCTTGTTATGTTTCTTTCATCGGTTTCTAATCTTGCAACAAAAATCAACGGTTCTTTTGATGCAAGAGGCACTAAAATCGACAGTGATCCGAAACATATCTCCAATTCAAAAGGTGGAGGATCTCCTCCACAGGGCAAAGAATATCCTCTATGCGGGTTAAATAACCCGTCTGAGGATGGTATCATATATGCACCTTTTTGCGATAAAGGATATGTTTTTTCTCAGATCAAATTCGCTGACTATGGTCAGCCCAGTGGTTCATCATGTGAAACGCTTAAACGTGGAAACTGCGGCGCGCCCGCTACTTTGAGACTCGTCAAAGAGGTTTACAAAGTACATCAACATTAATAATCTGTTTGACGATAAATCTTCTTATCGATTATTATTATTTTTGTTTATGCAGAATTGTCTTGGAAAAGAACGGTGTAGGATTTATATTACAGACGAGATGTTTGGACCGACGCATTGTAAAGGACCTGTTAACTTCGTTTTTTCTGCTATTTGTAAAAAAACCTAATTAAGCTTACTTATTTCCTACGTTAAGGGAAAATGATTCTTACAATTTTCCTCAATTTATTGTTTTAATGCAGCGCATCTTTATGTTGTTGATTTACGTAATCCACCGAATTAGGCTTTTGTTTCCTAATTAAGTTTTTTAAAAAAAGTTTTTTTTTTTTTTTGGTAAAAGGTTAGGTTTTTAAAAAAAGTTTATTCACGAATTCAAATCTCTTCTTCTGTGGTTGTTTAATGTTAGATCTTTTCGTTGTATGTTGAGCTGTGGAGCTTAATTAAAGGCATGACGATATCTTTTACCGCACGTTATAAGAATCATATATGTTCATCGTACATATTAATTAATGTTTCAAGGAGTAAACTCGTACTCGTCTAATATGATCAAATTAGAATTTATGCGTAATGATCATAAAACATCAACAGCCATACTTTATTAACAAAAGCTCAAAACTATCGAGAAAGACAAGAGGATTTTGAGCTTTGAAGCTCTGATACCATGTAGAATAGGATATTGAACTGTGTTGCCTTTATTAAACCTTAACACAATGTCTTATATAGAGACAACTACTTGGGTTTACAACAACCGACAATGTCGTGAACTACACGTAACGTAATGGGCCTAAACATACGGCCCATATACTCTCGGTAATATATACACAATCCTTTTAAACACGTTCACAATATATACCGGAGTCATTTTTCTTAGACTAGGGAATATTGTTTCTAAAACATAAAAAGCAAATCCTTTTAATCTTCTAAAACAGTATTACGTAAAGAGCAAAATTAATCTTAAGTCATTTTTACGTTCACACAAATAGAGAAGATCATAAAAAAAAAAAAAAATAGAAGAACATAATTTTTTTACCTTAATATAACAATAAAATCAATAATTAGCAGAGACGAAACTCTAAAGATTAACGAATAATTGTGAAACCAATTAATTAAACTCTCTTTTGGAAGAAAAATCATTTTTTTTTCCACTGAAAATGGAAATCTATTAATAACTTATCGTGGAAAAGTCAGAATAATGTCCTTCACCAACACCTCCGAAATCCAAGAATTAGAAGAAAAATTGACAGAAAATTTTGCGGACACATCCGCACTCGACTTCGTCTCTCCAACAGACTTTATTTCTTTAAGGCTTTTTTTTTTACCTATATATAACTCAATCCGTACTAGTATGTTAATAGCATTTTCACTACCAAAAAAAAAAAAAAAATGGGGACTACCGTTTGTCATCGTCATGGTTTCATATTAGTTCTGTTTCTTTCCTCTATCTCTTGTTTAGCTTCGAAAATGGACGTTAACTATGATGCAAGAGGCATCAAAATCGAAGTTGGTCGGAAACATAATCTCTCTGATTCCATTCCTAACCCTCGTAGTGAATTTGGGAGTTCTCTTCCTAAGTTGGGCAATCAGATTCCAGTTTGTCGTCACCAAAACAGGTCTAGGGCCCCTGTATTGATGTTTGATTGCAAAGAGAAAGGATATGTTTTCACAAAGATCAATTTCGCCGACTATGGCCATGCAAGTGGTGATTGTGGTAACTTTAGACGTGGTAATTGCGGCGCACCCGATACCTTGAGGCTCGTCAAAAAGGTTAGAAAAATTAACTAACATTAATAGTATGTTTTAACCGTTCGGAGTGGCATACTTATAGCGACACACATCAATTTGTTGTTTGCTTTTACATTGTGCATATATTGATTTGTATGCATACATTGTTCATTGAGCTTTGGTACAATGTTTTATACGAAATGAGTTTGCGAAAAACTCCTTCCCATGGTTAGTTGGGGTATGGAAAATCCAGACATTAGGTGCCAATTAGAACATGTATATCAGTATATATTCATTACGTTGGTTTCACCTTTATTTGATGGAGAGTGATATATAAATATTTCAATAAATCTTATAATTATTTATTTCATGCAGAATTGTCTTGGAAAATGGCAGTGTATACTTCTTTTGGGGAGAGGGGACGAGATGTTTGGTCCGACACATTGCAAGAGTCCTCCTTGGTTCGTTGTTGAAGCTACTTGTACAAAAACTTAGGTTTCTACTGCTTAAGTGATTCTTTATTTCTCTGTTTCCTCGCTGTGATCAAAGTTTGTTCTTGATCAAACTAGGGCTTGGCTTCTGCAAAATTGCGGAAAATTTTGTCGTATATTAATTATGATTCGTTAGATCAACTTTATACATTTTTGTTTCATATTTGTTGATGGTAGGTTTTTGGGCTTGGGCCTAAAAACCCTAGTGAACTCCAAGATATTTGTGACAATAAATTTAATTCTAATGAAATTAGAGTCACCATGAATATCATATATCCTAATATTTTTAATCAAATATTTCTTATGTATAATTAATAGATTTATATCATTAATTAGTTCGAAAATAATTTTACTAAAAGGAAAAATCCCACAATAAAATAATTATTTAGATATTTTCATAAAAATACATGAAGTAATTATGCTTTCAGAGGATGGTTAAAGTTAACATGGTTAAGAAAACTTGGTCGTGATGCTGTTTGGGCAACAAGGCAATCACGGAAGATCAGTTATGCTTCACAAGATATGTATAGTTACTATTGATTTCCTGATGTTTAAGGGATCTCTTTTGTATAGCGCATCTCTTTATCTCTTGATGACTATAAATGTATGTGAATCAAGTCATAATAAACATACAGAAAACTTCTGAACCTCTGTTTCTTTAGTGAGTGGAATGACAAGGCCAATACTCTAGAAGAACACAAACCAAGCTTTTGCGTTACATGTGTCACCAATCCTACACAAACTCGATTGAAGCATACGTAAGTTATGTGCATATATATACAACATAGTCGTCACTCGGAAAAATGTTTTGAAAATGTTATTTTTACCAACACAAGCTATAAAACTTAGCCTGACGACACAAATTTCCCTAAAACTTGAACAACTGGACAAATGATAAAACTAAGGAAACAATTCAAAACAATGAATATAATTGTGAAATTTAGAGGTGTATCTGAATTAATTTTGACCTATAATTTCGAAATCATTTATTTCATACGTATTTACTTGACAATAGAATTATCACTAGTTGGGTGGGAATGTAAGAACACAAATGAACTTTCATGAGATACATATTAAACATACGTACTTTCATATTCTGGCCTTTATACAACAACAAATCAATTAGCAGAGGAAAAAATCTAAAGACCAATTAACATATATTTATGAAACAAATTAATCGCACGTCTATGAAAATTTAAAATGTTGTTAATTTTTTTTTCTTCCCTGGAGATGTAAATCTATTAATAAGTAATCGTGGAAAAAGTCAACATGAATGTCTTTCACCAAACTCCTCCGAAAACCAAGAAAAACAAGAGAATGGAAAACTATAGAACTACAAATTGAGAGGAAATTTCGTGGCCACATTTAAATCCAATTATCCAATATAGAATTACAAACGAATTTGCCTCTCCAAAGTTTGATTAATCCAAGTTTAACAAAAAAAAAAAAAAGTAAAAAAGAAGAAGTTAAATATACCTATATATAAGTAGTCTGTACTTAAACATTTTTGATACCTTGATTATGAGAACATAAACAAACTAAATGGATACTTTACATTGTCGTCATAATCATGGCTTCATTTTGATTCTTCTTCTATTTCATTCATCTCTGTTTAGTTTAGCTTCAAAGATCGATGTTTCTGATGATGCACGAGGCATCAGAATCGACGGTGACCAGAAACGTTTTCTCACTAATTCTCCTCAACATGGCAAGGAACATGTAGCGTGTACGAATGAAGAACCTGATCTCGGTCCTCTGACGCTTATTTCTTGCAACGAACCTGGATATGTTATTACAAAGATCAATTTCGCTGATTATGGCAATCCCAGTGGTACATGTGGACACTTTAGACACGGCAATTGCGGTGCACGAGCTACCATGAGGATCGTCAAAAAGGTTAACAAAATAAACTAACACTAATGTTAATTCCTAAGAAATATTTCAATGAATCTTATTGTTAGTATTGATTTGTGCAGAATTGTCTTAAAAAAGAAGAGTGTTACCTTTTGGTTACGGATGAGATGTTTGGTCCGAGCCACTGCAAAGGAGCTCCTAGGCTCGCTGTTGAAACCACTTGTACACTAGCTTAGGTTTCATCAAATATATTGCCTATATATAGAGATTTCTGAAAGTGTTTTATTTTCTTTCCATCTTTTCTCGTTTTGGTCAAGCAGTGGTTTCTCGTTCCTTTGATTATGTTTCAAGTGCTTATACATAATCAACATATACTAGTCATGCTTTTGTTTAAACACACTTTTACTTTGCTTCAGTTATTTAATTTTTTTTTTTTTTTTTTTTATTTTAAATTTCCATTAAAAAACCAAAGGGGAACATACAAGGCCAAAAGGCCAACAAAGGCACGCAGGCCCAACATACGAGGCAAAAGCCGAAAAAAGGGCACGCAGGCCCCAAATTACAAGGGCAAAGCCCAAAGCCAGGCACGCAGGCCCCAAATTCAGTTATTTAATTGTTTTGAGTATAATCTCTCAGACTCATTGTATGAGCCGATGTACCGATATCGATGGTCGACATGAGCGATCATATATATGGGGATTGGAAGTTGATTTTTTTTTTGGATTAAGTTCATTAATAAGGTTTCTTTTTCTAATGTAATCATTGTCACTATTTTTTCATTGTATTTGAGCGAAATAGCGAATAGAGAAAAAAAAAACTATTAATTGTAGTGGATTAATCTGCAACAGGGGAAAGTAGACAATGGCTCATTGTTGTCACCCTTTAAATATGGAAGTGTATCGATGGTGAATTTTACGATCATCGGAAAACGTTAATCAAACTCATCACGGATTTATTATAAGAGTAAAAGACCTTTTTGCCTCTCATTTCCAAAAGCTAGTAAACAACCACGCATGCTTCAGGTGTCCTGTGTCGTCGTCAAACCTTCCACAGTTCCACTCTAATTTTAGGCTCAACGTTGTGGATGTGGATTAGCGCCACTAACAGTGCATAGATCCCACATTTATTAAAGTAATTTTATTTACTAATTTAGTATCATAAATTGTTTTTAAAAAGTATACTTATATTGTTTTGAAAACGGAGACGTGCCTTTCGTCAAGTGGTTAAGTCCATTTGAAAACAAAATATTTGTAAAAAATAAACAAAAACAATTATGGTAAAGTAAAAAAATAATTAATGACATTAAGTTCAATTATGAGTTAAAAAAGCTGACGTCATAAAAAACTGGTTGGAGTTTCTACGAAGCGCTTGACGTCAAGCGAAGCCAATACGAAGACGACGACCAAGAAGAAGAAGAAGATTTATAATTTCCGAATCCAATGGACCTGAATCGCAAACACAAGGTATCTATTTCATCCTTCTTCTCCTGCTACTGTGTTGAACTTGAACCATTTCAATGCTCTCTGATCATCGCTTTCGAATTCGATCTGAACTTTGTTTTTTTTTATTCGATGTTAAATTAGAAAACTTAGGGTTCTTAATTCTTATAGCACTCAGATTCGGTGGAATTTTAAGCTTCTGTTAGTGTAGACGATGCCTGAATTGTAAACCTAGGCTATTAGAATGGACTGTTTCGGAGGGAATCTCAACTAGTTTCATGGGAAAATGATGTCTTTAAAAATGGGTGCATCTGTGATTGTTAAATGAAATCTGATCAGGTGTCCCTTAGAGGTGCCAGCAGCGGGGAGATATCAAGGGATGCTTTGCTTGCTAAAGTCTCACAAGAAAGGGAGCTACGCAGTTATGCAAGACGCGCTAATGCTGCTGCTCTTTTTATTCAGGTACTTCTTCTTTCTCCTATTGGTGAACAGAAATTAAACCCGGGCTATCGATAAAAATCTCTTTTGTGTTAGGCTTATTCTGAGTTGGAATCTATGGATTTCGTTTTTGGTTTTATGGGACTTTTATCTCTCCTACATAGACCTAGGCTTAAACTTACCTCATCTTTTCCAATACTTGTAGAGAGTTTGGAGGTCTTATATTGTGAGAAAGAAGGCAGCTATAGAGATCCGAGAGCAGTGGGAGAATTTACTAAGTTGCCATTCTGATTCACTGACCAAAAGTTGGGTATCAAGCAGAGTATTGAGACCGTTTCTCTTCTTTATCAGATCTTTATCTGTCCAACATCAAAAGATACAGTCTAGAGATATACACTGCATGCAAACTTGCTTTAAGATTCTTTTGGAAAGCATCAACTCTAATGGTATGATTCTTTCCTTTTTTTCGCTTGAATTTGAATCATTTGTCTTGCAAATTAGGAGAGAATTAATTTTTGAATGGATGCTGTTATTGTGTTTTGCAGATCAGGGGTACAATTTTTGCTCTCTAGCAGTTGGTACATTTGAAGAAAGTAAAACATGGGCCTGTCAAACACGAAGGATGATTTCTCTCTGCTCTTTCCTTCTCATGGAGTGTAATTATTCACAGGAAAGGATAAAAGATGTTATTGGTGTCTGTGCCCTTCTATTACGTATTCTTATTGTTTTAACTGATCCCAAAAGCTGGAAGATCATTACAAAGGAAAACTTTGAAGATGCAGAAACAGCTGGAAAGATGATCATTCAGTTTATAGGGAGCTGTAAAAGTGGATATTACTCAGCAGTTAGGAGATATATCAAGACATTAACCAAACATAGAGATGAGAGACTGCTGATTACTACAAGTGCAGTAACTTTGGCTCTACGACCATTCCACGTGAAACAGCCTGCTTTTGTTGATGACTACCAACCGGACTCGAATTTGGCTATTGAAGAATATGTTTCTCTAATACTGACGATTCCTCGGCTCGTTTTCTGCCTGCCAAGCGCTCTCATACGTGCACTGAAGCACAAGAGCATACTAATGCCAAGCTTTCGCACCATATTGGTAAAACTCGTATCATATTTTCTTAGACCAATTTATTTCTTGTCAAAGTCTCAAAAAGAATGTTGGGAAAATTGATTGACTTGTTTTAAATCTCTGTCACTTTTTTGGACGAACTGGTTATTTTTTTCCAAACAATCGAAGGACTTATTAAAGCGTCGCAGGCGACAGCAGCTTTTGAAGGACAAAATTTTGACCAGAATATCGGAAATGGAGCATTCAGAGAAGCAAAGTTGTACCATGGAGATACCTTCTGTTGGATGGGTTATCGGGAACATCATTTCCCTGGCAACAGTTAGTGAAACCGATTTTATGGATCCACAAGAATCAAATCCAGAGATGTTTTATGTCTTGTATGTTCATGTTATTGTGACTCTCGCCGAGAATCTATTGTCTAAGGTTGAAAATGTTGGAATTCAGGATATTCATCTTGATATTGAGGCCACATCAAATGAGGCTGGGAAAGGAAATTCAGATAAGATTTCTTTTGTGGAAATGCTTCGACCAGTATGTCAACAGTGGCATCTCGCAAAACTGTTGGCAGCTTCTGGGAAAGAAATTTGTGTTATAGCAGATAAAGATGCATCAACAACGAATAGTAAGAAAGGATCAGAAACACTAGGATTGCTTGATATAGCACGATTATATTCATGCATGTTGAGAATCTTCTGCGTGCTGAATCCTGTCCTTGGACCTTTGCCTGTCCTTAACATGTTATCCTTCTGTCCCGGATACATTGTCTCTTTGTGGAATTCTCTAGAGAGTGTCCTAATCCCTGAAAATGGTCGCACTGCTGACGATGCATCTCATGGATCTGCTAAAACTTCATGGAATACAAGAAGTCCTTCTGAGAAGAAATTGAAACATCTTAAGAATGACAGTGTCAACAAGTGGGTGAATGTGCTAAACAAGTTTTCTGGTAAATCACCGGGACCGCGTGAACATATGGAGTGTATTAGTGATCAACCAGGATCAAGCCAGGTTAATGAGTCAACTAATGATGTATGGGATGTGGAAACTCTGAGAGGTGGTCCTGTAGGTATCTCCAAAGAAGTGTCATCCCTGCTTCATCTATTCTGTGCAACCTATGCGCATTTACTCGTTGTTCTTGATGACATACAGTTTTATGAAAAGCAGGTAAATATGCTATATGGTTTCCTGCAGCTTATATGTTATTGGTCTGATATTTACTAATGATTTGTTTTGGCATATAGGTCCCCTTTATGCTAGAGAAACAACGGAGAATTGCATCAATGCTTAATACACTCGTTTACAATGGATTGTTGCGAGGCATAGGTCCTGAGAGTAGACAACTGATGGATTCTGCTATCAGATGTTTGCATTTATTGTATGAAAGAGATTGCAGGCACCCTTTTTGTCCTTCTGCCCTGTGGCTCTCACCTGGTAGAACTAGTAGACCTCCAATTGCATTTGCTGCCAGAACTCATGAGGTTTTACCAGCCAGTGATGTTCTTACGTCTCCAAGCATGGGTTCTGTTATAACAATTACTCCGCATGTCTTTCCATTTGAGGAAAGGTAGTCTTACATTGCTTACCCTTCATAGCCTATCCATGTCTTTTTTCTGTGTGCTACAATAACTTCTAACTAACTATTACGTATCTCCTCATTTCTCTTTATCTGTTGAATGATGTTCATGTTTTGTTATCCCTGCAGGGTCCATGTGTTTAGAGAGTTTATAAGCAGGGATAAAGCTTCAAGGAAAATGGCTGGTGAAGTGGATGCACCTGGTGCGAGGTCAATAGAGATAGTCGTTCGTCGAGGTCATGTGGTTGAAGATGGTTTTCAACAACTGAATTCAATTGGTAGCAGGCTAAAATCATCCATCCATGTCTCGTTTGTGAATGAGTCTGGCCTTCCTGAGGCTGGCCTAGACTATGGTGGCCTTTCAAAAGAGTTTTGACTGATATAACAAAAGCAGCTTTTGCTACTGAGTAAGCTCTTCTATATGCATGCATACTTTATTCTAGTCTATGGTGTTACTTGTCCAATGGATTAAGTTTTGTTTTATTGGTATGTCCATTATATTCCTTTTCCAAAAGGTATGGGTTATTCTCGCAAACCCCTACTTCAGATAGGTTGCTTGTTCCTAGCCCATCTGCACGGCACCTTGAGAACGGAATTCAGATGATTGAGTTTCTTGGAAGAATTGTTGGAAAAGCTCTATACGAGGGAATACTGCTGGATTACTCTTTTTCACACGTTTTCATCCAGAAGCTTTTGGGACGTTATAGCTTTATTGATGAACTATCAGGGCTTGATCCAGAGCTCTACAGGAACCTCATGTATGTCAAGGTAAAAACCGTCGCAGTTGATATATCTGTTGCCTCATATGTCAAAATTCAATCTTGCATTAAGTATCACAAGATAGGGTTTCTGAGATCAAGACTCTTGTTTATACGCAGCATTATGATGGTGATTTGAAGGAACTCTGTCTGGATTTCACAGTCACTGAAGAGTTTTGTGGGAAAATGAGCATAACTGAGCTTAAACCCGGTGGGAAGGATATTTCAGTTACGAATGAGAACAAAATGCAATATATTCATGCAATGGCTGACTATAAACTCAACCGGCAGGTATCGTCTTTTTTCTCGTTTTATAAATAATCTAAAGGTCAATCTTCCTGCAAAACAAATTTACTTCATAATTAATGAGGTAAACATGTTATCCTATGTCTTGAATGCAGATTGTGCCCTTTTCAAATGCATTTTACAGAGGATTGACTGACCTTATATCTCCTGCTTGGTTGAAACTATTTAATGCCCATGAATTTAATCAGGTATGCGGCTCTCATGTAATGATCTCTAGATTTTTTCTCTTGTACAAAGCTATTGTCTTACAAAATTTTCTGTGCAGTTACTCTCTGGAGGAAACCATGATATCGATGTGGATGACTTACGGAGGAATACAAAATACACAGGTGGTTACAGTGATAGCAGTCGAACAATCAAAATCTTCTGGGAGGTGATAACTCATATTCAGAAGTCCTGATATCTTCCTTTTCTTCCTATTCTGTCTGCCAATTTATGACATATGCAGAGATATTGAAAGCGGCTAGTATAATTTCTCTCTGGGGATCCTGTCTCAGGTCATGAAAGGGTTTGAACCGAGTGAACGTTGCTTGCTCCTCAAATTTGTGACTAGTTGTTCTCGGGCACCACTCCTTGGTTTCAAATACTTGCAGCCAACCTTCATCATCCATAAAGTTTGTTTTTGAACTTTGGCTTAGAAATGTATGTGTGATATTCTGTTTGGTAATTTTTTTTCTTCTTAATTTTGTGCTTTTTCATATTCTGCAGGTCTCTTGTGATACCTCTCTTTGGGCTGCTATTGGAGGACAAGATGTAGAAAGGCTTCCATCTGCATCTACGTGCTACAATACTCTTAAGGTGAAGTTTCAATTGTTCTGTTATCTTTGTAGTCTACATGTGAAGATTCCTGTATCTTTTTTGTTCAGTCTTTCTTTGTGGATTTCTTCAGCTTCCAACGTATAAACGAGCAAGCACTATGAGGGAAAAACTATTGTATGCGATTACTTCAAATGCAGGATTTGAACTCTCGTAGAGACCTCCGACCAGGTATTCATCTTGTGATGCAACTAGACCTTTTATCCTTTATTCTATTCAATCTATATGGCTTCTGTCAGTTAAATTAGTAGGGCTGGTGTACACAGTGTGTTTGGTTTATCTTAAGATGGGAACTTGGTTCTTCTTGGTAGTTGTATATGAATATATGATAATCAACTAAGCTGATATAGAATCTTATTAAATCTTATATGTCTAACCAAACCTGAATTTTTTTATGATGTTCACATAGCAGCAAACTTTAATTTGTTTAGAGCTCTACCAAAATTCTTGCTGTAATCAACTTTAGAAATGTTAAAGTGCGAACAAAAATAAAATACCAAAGATTGTGATCTTCATAAACAAAGCTTGGACCTATAGACCATCACACAGTCACACAGACCAGATTGGTAGTTTCTACATTCAGTCACACACACGCGCACACAATCTGTTTCTTATTTGTGAGTTATACATATAGAGAGAAAAAGAGCAAAGAGAGAAGAGGGAGAGAGAGAGACACACACTTTGGTAGCTATTTGTAGGTATACAGTTTGAATTCAATCCAACTGGGACGACTCAATTCAATTGATTAGAGAAATCCCTTGACCCAGTAGTTGACCAGCCAACAGCTCGTTTACAGCCTCTGTGGGGTGAAATCCATCCCAAAACACATATCCTGTGGCATTTACACACGTTCCTAGGGATAGAGAATTGCAAAGGAACGATGTTTCTATTGTTCCTGTTCCGCAGCATGCCCTTTTTGTTTCAAAGAATCCTAGAATACATGCAGTTTAGACATTTAAAAAATAAAAAGACGTTAATGGTACCTTGTTAGTTGCTAACTAGATTAAATATCTGAGAAGTTCTTCCTGTGAATAGCTCACTCTATCATGGTTTAAAGTTGAATAAGGATTTAAAGTTTGCATATGCAGGCGCGTACCATTGTCAATTGGGTTGGTGATGATGTCCAGGAAAGGTTGATAGACATTAAAGGCGACGAGCCTGAGGCCTGAGTGTCTATTCATCAATAACTGGGTTGTGGTCTCAAGTTTGGTATTGAACTTGATAGCATCGTTGTTCAGTCTCTCAACACAACTTTTGTTTCCTGCACCGAAAAGAGTGATAGCTGCAGGCAGGCAACCCATCGGCGGTAGCGATATCACTCCGATTCTCCTTGCTCCTAGTTCATACAGATTCTGTTACAAGTGACAGTATGATTCTTGTTGACACAAAAAAAGGGTAAATAACTGATACGATTCTTTTTTTTGTTTCGTTTCTTGTAAATTTGCACATTCATATGGTTGCCTTGTTATGAATATCGAGTTCTACAGTTTGTTACTAAACTTAGAAGTACCTGGATAAATTCTGAGTAGGATCTCATGAGAATGTCAGCGAACTGATCAGGTGTATTTAGGATGTTGAGTAGAGGATTGATGTAATAGTTCTGAAGAAAGTCGCTAGATCCCGCACTCAAAATGTGGATACCTCTAGAGAACAGCCTGCGCGCATTCTCCCTCCCGATCATTCTTGTTACTCTGTTTTGATACGCCCTGTAATAGCTCAGCTGTCTTGTTAAGGAGATCGCGCCCTGCAAAAGGAAGAGTAAAGCCTTATGGATCATTTCTTGGGTATGTGTGTATTGATGTTTGACTGTGTTGTCTCCTTTACAAATGGAACAGATGTGGCATCATAGTATCCTGAAGAAGCTGATGCAAAGTTGGCGCCGATCAGGAGAGTCTCGTTACTTGCTTCTCGGCTTAGGAATGCAGGTGGGTATGAAGAGAAACCAAGGTACTCGGCTAGACATGAGTAGGCAGATATAAAACTAATTAGATTAGGAAAAGAGAGAGAGCATATGAACGTGATAGAGAGAGAGATATGTGGTTTTGGGAAAAAGACTTTACCTGAGAAATCTACTGCGAGTTTTCCGTTGCAGAATCTTCCGGTGGGTCTTTGGTCGATGAAGTCTCTGCCATAAGGAGGAAAGTTGGATTTGACAATGCTGAGTAAGTTATTGTTGTTGCCAACGTCAACAATGGAGTCACCAAACATAATGAGTGCAGGAACAATAGCTCCTTTGGATTTGCAGAAGAAACAAGAAACCAAGAGAAGAACTCTAAACCCCGTAACTCTCATCTCTTGCATTCCTTTTCTTTCCTGTCTAATGCAATCAGGTCGTTAGGACAGAGAGAGAAGAGAGAGAAACAGAGAGAGAAGAGAAAGGGATAGTGATAGATAGTGGTGAGAAAATGGAGACTTAAGAAGATGATGCATGTTATACAAATATAATCATTCTCCCCATGCTTATGTTTAAGATAAAGAAAACGCATTTGCTAGTGCAATAGAGTAGGTGGAAATTGTATGTGAGGTCAGTCTCTTTGGTCATTGATCTTGGACCATAATCAACAATATTTTTGCTTCCTCGAACATAAACTTCCGTCATAGCGCGGAATTTCAATTCGGTAATTTGAATCTCAATCCGATTGATTGTTTGGTTTGAAGGGTAGCTCGATCGATAAACAGACGGGTAATGAGAGATCATCTAATCTGGATTGATTGATTGCTCAATACTTCACTAATCTAATTTTTGTTCTTGTTGAACCGTTGGAGGCATCAATAAAAAATTCTGATAGAATACAGTTTTCTTGATAAGAGATGATATGTTTGAGGAAAACAAAGTTGAATATTGGCAAAATATCATTATAACAAAGTGTGAGCTCCACAAACTTTTTGTTATTGTTCTTGTAATAATTTCTTAGGTAATTGTGGAATCCACCTCAAAGATTGTGTTTTTTTTCCCCTCTATTTCCCTCAAAGATTGTGGTTAAACCATCATGGGTTTTTTCTTCTTTCTTCTATTGTGCTTGAGCCATCATGGTTTATTTTCTTTCTTGTACATAAAAAGAAGTCATAAGCTTTTTTTGAATATTATAGCAAAAACTAAAAAGCTTACGAAGTGTATATGTTACAACGAAAAAGCAAGAGTTTGGGCCATGTCACCATGGAAGTAAAAATTAGGAGAGAGTGGCCAATTTTGGCTTATTGGGCCATATTGTTTTGGATCGTCTAAAAAAGAAATCGAATTGTCTAGAGGATAAATAAACCGAATTGTAAAAATTATAGGTAGAGTCGGTTATGTTATTTCACTTGTGGCTAACTTGAACCATTTTTACTAGTAGCTTGAAATTAAAGTCAGTGGGTTTTACATTCTTACTACAGTAGCTTCAAAATAAAGCAGGCAGCTTCTTATTTATTTATTTGGGTCTTTCACTTTTTCCCCAAATCTTCGTCTCCGAGACTTCAAAAACACATTCGTGCATCGTCATCCTTCTCTCTGATTTTCTAATTCTATATTTCAAAGGTTCTACTTCTCTCAGAATCTCAGCTCTTTCACGAATCAATGGAGAAGTTGATGATTTTCGTCGATTTAGGTTTCTAATTTGTTTGTTTTTTGTTGGCTATAGCTATGGCGGATACTGTAGAGACAGTTCCCACCGTTGAGTCATCTTCATCCTCCTCCGTTGAAGCATCTATTAGCACCGAGAAGACTGAGCCCACGACGGAGAAGAAAAAGTGGGGCGATGTTGAGGATGATGATGATGAAGAGGAAGCTGTATCGGAGCTTAATTCTTTGAGCATTAATGAAGAAGAGAAACGTGATTCTGTGCTTGAGGAACCTGAAGATTCAAACATCAAAGCTGTATTACTTCTATTCCCTTTCCTTTTCTTTTTGCTAGATTTAGTGAATTGTTGTGATTGTGTTGAATCTTGCCAATAGAGCTTAGATCTGGGTTTTACTAGAAGAAATTAGGTTTCTTTGAATCGGTTGATGCAAATTAGTTCTCGGATGATTCTAATTACTGTCTAGGGTTATTAGATTTCCAGATTTGTTTGGATGATTTTGATTTCTCGAGTTTTTTTTTGCAGGTTACTTCTGGTGACACGCCATATACATCAGCAAGTAGATTTGAAGACTTGAACTTGTCACCTGAATTGATGAAAGGCTTGTATGTTGAGATGAAATTCGAAAAGCCGAGCAAGATCCAAGCAATCAGTTTGCCGATGATTATGACGCCGCCTCACAAGCATTTGATTGCCCAGGCGCATAACGGATCTGGAAAGACAACTTGTTTCGTTCTTGGAATGTTGAGTCGGGTTGATCCGACACTTAGAGAGCCTCAAGCGCTCTGTATTTGTCCCACTAGAGAATTAGCTAATCAGGTTAGTTTAGTTTAGTGTTAATGATCTTACAGTAATTTGATTGTCCACTTGGGAAAACGTGTTAAGAGCTTAATTCATGTATGGTTGTTGAATGATTGAATGACAGAATATGGAAGTTCTTCAGAAGATGGGGAAGTATACTGGGATCACTGCTGAGTTGGCTGTGCCAGAGTCAACGAGAGGCGCATCACCAGCCCCAAGACGAGCTCCTGTTTCTGCTCATGTTGTGATTGGTACCCCTGGAACGCTTAAGAAGTGGATGGCTTTTAAGAAACTAGGTCTAAATCATTTGAAGATTCTGGTTTTTGATGAGGCTGACCATATGCTTGCTACGGTATGCTCTTTCTTCTGTTTTACTTGGTCTTGTTAATTTCTCAACTGTAATGATTAACTTCTGTATAATGTGATACTATTTTCCCTTCATATGTTGTTGATAATTAAAAATTCATTGCTGTTGCAGGATGGCTTTAGGGATGATTCCTTGAAGATAATGAAAGACATTGGGAGAGTTAATCCCAATTTCCAGGTCTGTTAAACTAGTGTCTGATTTGGTCATGCTTCTTGAATTATAAGTAGGATGACAATTGATTTCTAGTGGCATATCTATCGTGATATCTAGGGGGCACAAGATATTCTACTGAGCCTCTATAGTTATACTTGTTTCAGTGCTCAGAAGCTCTTAGTAAATTGAAGCAACTCAGCTGTGTTTTATTTGTTGTTTAGAGCCTCATATTTTAAGAAGACATATGTATGTGCTAAATTTAAGAAGACATTCGTGCTATATTTGATTGTGTGCTTGTGTTCTTGACCTTTTTTCAACAGGTTCTTCTTTTCTCGGCAACTTTTAACGAAACTGTCAAAGATTTTGTTGCAAGGACAGTCAAAGATCCCAACCAATTGTTTGTCAAAAGAGAGGATCTGGCTTTGGACTCAGTGAAGCAGTATAAAGTTGTTTGCCCAAAGGAGAAAAACAAGATCGAAGTCATCAAGGATCAGATTATGGAGCTTGGGGATATTGGGCAAACCATTATCTTTGTGAAAACAAAAGCGTCTGCTCACAAGGTACACAAAGCCCTTGCGGAAATGGGATATGACGTTACTAGTGTCCATGGTAATCTGTCTGAATCGGACAGGGATAAGATAGTTAAAGAGTTTAAAGATTGCCTTACTCAAGTGCTCATTGCTACCGATGTCATTGCAAGAGGTTTTGACCAACAGCGGGTAAATATTGTCCTTTGACCCTTTTCCTTTCTTCTCGTTTTTCCTCAAAGGTGCTATGTAGTTAATGCCTTTTGTTGGTTATATACAATACTACTTGCAGGTGAATTTGGTTGTCAATTATAATCTTCCCACTAAATATGACACCGGAGAGCCAGATTATGAGGTCTACCTTCACAGGGTTGGGAGAGCTGGCCGGTTTGGTCGTAAAGGTGAGTTTTGATTCTTCTTTTTTTCTTTCTCAAGTGTTTCCATAAGTTCTTATCAGTCTCTGAACTATGTATTTGTATTGTAGGAGCGGTATTCAACTTGCTGCTTGATGATGGCTGGGATAAAGAGGTGATGGAGAAGATCGAGAAGTATTTTGAAGCAAATGTTAAGGAGGTATAATAAGATTTATGAAAACTGCTATATGTCTTTCAAGTGTTTGTTAAAACAGTATCCAACCATTAAAACTCTGCTGCAGATCAAGTCGTGGAACTCAGAGGAAGAGTATAAGAGTGCATTAAAGGAAGCTGGCCTGCTCGACCAGTGAGGAAGAGAGAGACAGATGTGTTCAAAACATCTTAAAGACTATGTCGTCTGTTTTCTGAGATTGCTTAAGAACGAAACATGTATACGTCTTTGGGGTTTTCTTGTAATCTTTTTATCAGATTACTGAGATTTTCAAGCTTTATAGCTTTTTTGTTGAGGAAAAACACATATTTTTGATGTCAATGTCAAATCACTTTAGTATGAACCTAAACAGCAAAGCATTTTCTTTACAACAATGGGATGAGAGTCACAATACACAACCAAAGCTTTTTAATTTCAAATGTTTGAGGTTTTAGCGGCAAGATGGATCAATGCCCGTCGATGATAGGTAGTTCGCAGCTTCTTGTATTTCTGCACAAATGCTACTGTATCAATCTCTTTCTCTAGGAACTTCTCTTGCAGGGCTTCAGATTCTTCATCCACCTGATTCATAGCCTCTGCAAAACCAGTAAAAGGTGTATAGAAGTGTGATGACACAAGCAAAGTAGAGAAGAGGAGACGAGGGAGAATTCATTGCAATGATATAACTTGATACCTTGAAGTTTATGAAGAAGAGAACCAGGGGAGTAGAATTTGAGGATCTCTTCTTTTTGCCTCTCAAGCTCATTAAGCTTTTCTTGCGCGGCTGCGAGCTCAGTTGTACGGATAATTCTGCACTGTAAAATAAGTAAAGATTTTTAAATAAGAGATGAAAAAGGTAAAACATGGTACACTGATCATGGAAAGTTGGTTCTTGATACACACTTGGTTTCTGAGCTCCATTATCTGTGGCTCCTTCTCCAAGTTCTCTCCTGTTAAATTTGACCACATGAAAATTTTAGATATCTGGATTGAACTAAAGTTTCTTGTAGAATGACATGAAGCAGAGAGAACTTACTAGCTAGCTGCAACGTTTCTCTGCGGAGCTCATCTTTGATCTGATGGACAGAAGCAAAGCAGAAAACAATTAACGTCCACAGACTATAACAAAGAACAAGAAAGCTCTAATTACTGGCGATGATGCCATGATAAAGGCTTCCTCAAACAATATCAATGCAATAGATTTGAAAGAGCACCAATGAATAATATCAAAACATAACTAACGAAGCTACATTCTTAGACCTATAGATAATAACGAATCAACCGACTGTTTTAGAGACTTACATTATTCTGGATTTTGACCTGGTCAAGAGAGAGCAGAAATTGCTGATACGCATCTTTGTCAGAGAGAAGCTTCCTGAGTTCATCCACGCTACAGAAAAGTACACACTACTCAAAAAGAAAGCATACAAAAAACCGCAATACATGAGAAGCATAACAAACAAACATTTGCATAACAAGCAAAACCTTTTGTCTTTCAAGAAGGCGATAATGCCAGCTGCTTCACCCGGTGAAACATTTGCTCCAATCTGACCTGAAGTTTGAGGCCGGGATGAGCTTGGCGAACTGACTAAAGAAGGTGGGTACCATGGCGACTGTGAAGAAGCTTCCTGAGGACGAGATTGCCCTTGTTGTTGGTCTTTTGATCCCCTTGATGTACATAACAAAAATAAACATCATCAACTACTATCTCAGCTTCAAAAATTTCAAGATATAAACTTGAAAGTTGCATTAAGGGCACATCATTCTATATCTAATATCAGTAAACT